TACCTAACCACTTGAGGCCAACAATCCATGGGTTGATCACAAAGCCGAAGCAACAATCGGGTTCTCCTTTTGATTTGGTGAATTTCAGATTCCACATGGCCATTGGATTGGGGATCATCACCAGAAGTAAAGGAATGATAGATGTTGCGGTGGGCTATCCATGACTGAAACCTTTCACCCAAGAGTTCCTTCGCTCTATCCGAATGCAACCTCCTAACCGTGACCCCCAAATAGTTCATTTTGGTGAGGATGGTATCCAGGGCCTTAATCACATGGGCAGTAGCTCTTGATTGGATTGGTTCAACCATAGTCACATGTCTAACCTTCCATGGGGTTTTCATGTCCATGATTTTCTTTTCCAAATCATCAGCTTCCGCCGCCCCGGATGCATCACAAGCACCCGGAGGACCCATAGGAACAGCTTCGCCACTGTTACCTTCGGGGACCTCATCGTCCGCAATCGATGGTTCATATTCATCAGCATCATTCTCATCAGCCACCGGTTTTTCATCACCCTCCCCCCAAGAGGCATCCACAACATCCCAAGGAGCAGCTGGGTCACGTTCTTCCGGATCCGTTCCTGAGTCCTGAGTTTCCTGAGTGAAGACAGGTACAAGGGCTGTGGCTACTAGTGCATACTTCATGACCTTTCCCGTGCACAAGTCCTTTGCAGATTTCATGGGAACCGCATCAATAGCCATGGTCCAAGCCGATGATCCACCATGTTCCCTACGCCTGTGAGGACGCCCGGAGGCCATCTCAAGTGCACACTCACGGCAATCCCTACGGTATGGTCGGTGCTGCTGCATCAAGTGTTGTTTCCAGCTATCCAACCCAGTGAGTTTGGCTACTTTGGGAGACCTGATCCCATGCCATTCACATATCAACAGCAAGGACAACCGAATAGCCCTTTTCAACCCTGGAGCCCATGTAGCCCAACTTGCGGTTTGGACCAACCTTTCGGGGAGATTAGTTTCAAGGGACTTTTCTTTGGGACCACAACGGCATTCATTGAGTTCATCAAATTCAGGCAGGTTGGTCATACATGACGTGGGTTTTTTCCGCTGGTGACCAAAGCAACCCTGGTCAAAGTGAACCATCTGCATTCCCATAGGTGCATACTTTTCGCAAAAACCCATGATTTCAGGCCATGTCCAAAAACTAGCCGCATGTTCACCTTCATCATTCAACAGGTACGTTTTGGGGTCTTCGGGTGATTCCAACAAAAACCCAACCCGATTTGGAACCGTTTCGGTGCCCTTCGGCCAACCACCGTACTTCCATGACTCCTCAGCGTGCATGTACAGTCCTACCTGCTTGAATAGGAGGGCAGTGTCACCATCAGCTTTTTGTTGTTGGGATAAAGTCAGATGACCAAATCCGAATCGTTCCAGCCCTTCTCGACTACGCAATCTAGGTGGTCCTGGTTTTTGGTCAAGCAACCTACTAGTGGTTCTACAGGGTGGGCCCCCTATAATACCAATGACCCTTCCTGATCCCGCCAGCTGCCACAAGTACCCCCAAGTCGCTGCGTGGTGGGCGTTTTGGCCCTCCCTGACATCGACCGTGATCACCTCCACATCGTCCGGCCAGTGATCTCTCCATTCCTTAGAGTCCGCACCTGAGTACAAGTGGATGATCAGGGCCTTGGCTGTAGCATGGCGACGTCTCTGGGCCCTATTCCACGGCAACTCCGAAGCGTTCCAAGTGCCATTTTGACCAGCCATGAACCTCCAAACCCTTTTGGGGACTTCGGGGAACCGTTGGGACCACCATTCAGAAACTTCATCCAAAAGTTCAACATTCATGGTGGGAAACCCTCTCTTAGCTCGCTCCACAGCTTCAATTTCACTGATCAGAGCCAAGGCATGAGGTTCAGAAACCACCGGACAACCACTACGTAGCCAACAGTTGATGGTTCCTCTCGTGGGGTGTCGAATTTCACAACCAGCTGAAGACCACTTGATCACATACCCTAGGTCGATGAGTCCTCTCAGTGGCACAATTGGTTCAACATGCTTTTCGGTGAGGATACAACCAGTCAACGGGTGTTGTCGTAGCTCTACAGTACCATGGGCTAGTTCGACCAAGACAACCTCAGATTCAGCAAGCTCTTGCGGACTGCCCCGTCGGAGGGGGTTGGTTGCACCTCCATCCAAAAGCCCGGTTCCCATTGAGTCATGGTCAATCCTTTTGATTTTGACAGCCTTCATGGTTGGGTTCATAGTCTTCAAAATGGTGTTGGTTTCCGACAACAGTTGAACAACAGCATCCTCCCCTAACCCATGCTCCTTGGTGGTCTCTTCCAACCCTGGTGGTACCGTCAACCCAGTATCAATCTTGGAAATTGACCCGCTTTCGGATTCAACACCCTTGGGTTTTTTGGTGCTCGTGCCCTTCCCTTCCCTTTGAGGGTTGGCCTCCTTGTCCACCTGCTTGAGTTTGGCAGTCTTTTTGTGGCCATCACCCCTTGATTCACCATTCTTGTGGGGACAGTCTTTTCGGGAGTGCCCAACAGCCGAACATCCAAAACATCTACCGCTTTTGGGATCCAAAGCAACATGTTCAAACCGACAACCATCACCCCTCCTACATCCCTTCTCGGTCATCCAAAACTTACAAGGCTTTTTGGTGGAAGCCTCAGGCTTCGCATCACTTTGTTGCTCGATCCCCGGAGGGACGGACAAAGCTGCAGCCTTCACTTGTCCTACATGAGTTTTTCCATGGCTACTCAGTGACAACTCTTCGGCCTCAGCTTGCAAATGTTCCGCAAAAACCAAAATGGTGTTGACATGGGGCTGATAGTCCAAACCAATTTGTTGACGAACCATGTTCAACCGGTATGAGATTTGTGGTGACTTGGCACACAACACATCGGCACATTTGGTGAGGATACCAGTCAAAACCAATGCATCAGGCAGCACGATTCCCAGTTCCAAAGACCTTCGAACCTGCCTTCTCCATGTTCGCACCCATTCCAGGACATCAGGAGCGCTGGTACCAAACTTGCTATCCGTCAGGCTTTGCAACAACTTGAATCTCTCCTGGGACCCTCCAGGCTGAAACACAACGCTGAGCCTAAACAACACTTGTTCAGTTGACATCCTTCGGGTGGAAACGATCTCATTTCGGATTGACTCAGGAATTGCTGCTAGGAGCATCGCCAAGGCACGTCGTTCCGTTCTCGGCCAACCAGCCGCCCTGGGATCCACCTTAGGTTTGATCCTCAGTCTATCCATGGGATTAGAGACAAGCCATTCCTTGTAGCTCACCTCAACTGCATTGCGAACCATTCCCCACCACATGTCTGAAGTGTATGAAAGGTCTCCCATGAGTGAGTCAACCAGGCTAAGCCAATCACCATATTGGAGGGGTGTGCTATTCTCATGCAAAACCGGAAGCTCAAAAGACCTAAGGGTCTCGCCAGCATTTTCACCCATGACATGTCGGGAATTCCCACTACCATCCATTGACTGCGGAAAGGGTGGAATGAACTGCCCCAGGTTGGTTCCCCCAAAACACAACAAATTGGTGGATTGCTGGGTTCGTGGTGGCGACTTCGGCGGAGGGCCCGGTGGCGGTGGTGGCACAAAAGCTTCTTCATCCCCTGCACTAACAAAGGATCCAACCGAACCATGAGACCAGTTGTCACCGGCCATCTGTGCCAAACCCTTCCTAAACTTTTCTTCCGCATCCCTCAAACACCGCAATCGGAATAGTTCAATCGGGTCGGTTTCCACATGACCTTTTTGGGGAGTATTTTGTTGGGATCCCCCCACATTTCCACAAGTCATCCGGGTGGCTTCAACCTGGGTTTCACGACTCCAGAAGGGGTTCACCCTATCCCAGCTTCCAAGGCACTGCTGATTCCCGCCAAGATACGAAGTGCCATCCGGAGGGATACCAGCCGAGGCACAATGAAGCCAAGGATCAACAGGTCTCGAAGAACCCAACTGAGATCCGCATGCCTCAGTTCGACGTTCCTCAGTTCCTGCAGGTTCGCCTATGTAGTAGCTTTCAACTCCCCTACTACTTGAACCTCCCAAAACTGATTCGCCGCCCGGAGGCGGGATGACTTTCACTCCACCTCCAGCCACACCATCCGGGGAATTCCTCGGATTCCTTATTGGTGGATTCTTCTCACCAGTTCCTACACCTTTGCCATTTCCACTAGGTTTCGGTCTTTCACCCCTTGGCGGTTCATCAGCAAAACGGGCTCGGGGTTCAGCTGACTTTGACCTCGGTGACTCCTTCCTAGCTTCACTGCCCTCAGACTTACCAACAACAACCTTTCGGACTTCAGGGTTCTGACTCCTTGTGGGCCTATCCTCAAGGTCAACATTGCCTAAGGTCAACGGGTTTCCTACCAAGTCCCCTAGCATCCCACCCTCAGCTCTACCTCTTTCACCGGCATGCTCCCTAAGTGGTCCGCTTTCTAAGGCTCTTTGGTTTTTTGACCCCCTTTCCTTGGCGCTGTCTTCCAAGAGGCTTTCCATCAAGTCATCAGCTGCTTCCGCTGCTTTTGCTGCTGCCGCAGCGCTAGCAGCACGTCCCTGCACGGAGGCGTCTCGGCGGCGCACAAGCGACATGTTGGGCTCATAACCCACGACGCTCCATGCAGCAGCTTGTTTTCCAATCTTGAGCCATAGGCCCACCAAGTTCTCTGTGACGTGCGTGTCATCCTTATGCAGGGGCCCTGAGGCCTAATCAGCTGTTTCCAAGACTGACCCTTTACAGTCTGACAGCTTCAACCTACATCTTCAAAGTGCGTGTCATCCTTATGCAGGGGCCCTGAGGCCTAATCAGCTGTTTCCAAGACTGACCCTTGACAATCTGACAGCTTCAAAGTTTCAAAAATCAGGGGCTGGTGCAGTTATGTTACCGCAATATCAATGGGAATTTCAGGATCCTAAACTGGAGGTATGTAAACGTACCATATTTTGGGCCATATTTTATGTGGATTATAGGAGATTTCTCACCCTCACCCCAATCACCTCAAGGTTTAAAACCTCGCTACGACTTCATCGTCATCGGTTCCGGTAGCTCCGGTTGCGCCGTGGCCGCGCGCCTTGCGCGCGCCGCGCCGGCGTCGGTGCTGCTGGTTGAGGCGGGCGGCGAGGCGCAGCGCTCGGGCAAGACGCAGCAGGCGCGGCAGGCCTTCAGCTGTTGGCAATCCGAAACTGGGGCGATTTTTCGTGGTTTTTTTTCGGATAGATATGGCATGTTAATAATGGTTAGGATGGGATAATGATGGTTAATGATGGGATTTATAATAGCTGGTTGGTGGTTTGGAACATGACGATGGTTAATAATGGTTAATGATGGGATTAATAATGGGATTAATGATGGGATTAACTGGTTGATGGTTTGGAACCATGGATTTTGATGATTTTCCCATCATATTGGGAATATATAATCATCCCAAGTGACGAATTTCCAATATTTTTCAGAGGGGTAGCTATACCACCAACCAGAATAGATGGAGATGAAGATGTTGATAGGGTATATAGTTATGTAATATGTATATAATGTAGACAGGATTATACATATCAAGATAGAATGGATCATAATGGATGATTTATATTTAGATGGATATAATTACTGGATATGTAATCGATATCACTTATGTTTTTTTGATAGACACATGATGGATTTTCGGTTTGTGTCCACGGTTCTGGTTTGCGTTTTGGACACTTTTGGTGAATTCGGTGATTTGTTTCTAGAGATATTGGTTGAGGTCCAAGATGTTTTGATTGTTCTGATGGCTTAGATGAGGATTTCTGTTGATTTTTTTGCTGAAAGCAGGCAGGTTTTGGTGGTTTCTATCCAAATTTCAACGATTATATCTGAACTTGGCGTGGAAATTTTGGATTGGATGCCAAGTTTTTCTTGAAACTGGGGTTGATTGTGGTTCAGATCCCATTTTTACCATTTTTTGTTGTTCTTTCGAAAGTGTTTTGTGTTGGTTACTTACTTTCCCAATTTTTGATATTTTTACTGACGTGCAATTGTCAACTCCCATTGTATCCCACTTTCTGTAGCTGGTGAGCATTCGTTCATGTTGGTGGCACGTTTTTGTTTGAGTAAGCCGAGTAGTTCTCAAAGACTTAAATCAGCTCCCCAAATCGGGATGCTGAGGAAATCGATTGGGGCTTCAGATCTACACCTCAACAGAACCTTTTGCCCAAGGGAAGAGTCTTGGATCTGGAACGCGGCAAAACCTTGGGCGGCTCCAGTGCCATCAACTACAATTTGTGGGTCCATGGTGCGCCGCAGGATTTCGATCGTTGGGAGACGCAGTATGGCTGTACTGGATGGAGTCTTAGATTACCATCTGCCTAACAGTTTGCCATGGAAAATCACCATCTTTAAGAACGGTAAACCCAGGTAAACCATCTATTTCTATGGACCATCTATACCATGGCAAACTGTTAGTCATAACCATAGTTTTTTTTTTCGATTTCCCCATGGGTGAATACACCACTTGGGAAATCTAGAGATGACAGGTTTTTCTTTTGAGGTCATCTTATCATTGGATCGGTTTTAAGGAAACCTTTACAGGAAACTCCTACGTTTGACGGCAAAACTCTGGTTTCCGGTGAAGATTTTCTCACCAAACCAATCCAATGAATGCTCAATATTGATTCTAGTCCCCCCCCCATTCGAATCCGACAGAAACCGCATAGAATCGCCATATAATCCCTATGTATATATATATATGTATATATATATGTACACACACACATATATATATGTACACATATATATATATATATTATATATTATATCATTCATAATCCCCATATCTTCATTTTTTTCTGGGACCATAGGGCCGGGCCAGCGAATCCCAGGAGTTACAAAGACGTTTTGCCCCATTTCCAGTGCCTAGAGCGTGTCTCGCCTGACTACTCGGAGGCGCGGGGGAAGGAAGGTCCCATTGCTGTGGCAAAGCTCTTCCCCGCTCTGGAAGAGGTGGGGGATGGTTGGTGAGGGGTGGGGGATAGTTGGATGGTTGAAATGAAAAATTGATGCCGGCAATTTAGCACAGCCAAGTATGAAAACTACCATTTTTTTTGAAAATATGTAAATCATGAACTGGGGCATCCTGATTGGAATTTCCACTACAAAACTAGTGGACTTGTAGCTATTGGTATGTGAAATGACCTGATGGTAACTGGTTTTTAAGGGTGAGCAGCCATCATTTTTCGGCCCAAAATTCAAAACACCTCCCCGACCTGACCCTGAGGTGGAGGATTTCATGAAAGCCTGCGAGGAAAATGCGGATGCTCAACGTGTGGCCGATTACAATGCTGGCAGTTTGGCAGGGGTGTCACCCGTACAGCTGTGCACAGATGGCACAGGTGAGAAAAGATGGTGGATTTCTGGGTTTCTCTGAGGGGTAGAGTTGGTTCACTTTTGTAGCCCTCAAAGACCCATCAGAAACCACGGTTGAGTATAAAGTTTAGTAGGGGATTTACCCTCCAGTAAATTAACATAGACCCTGAAAATCACCAATTTTTAATGGAAACTAGTGTTCCAACCCCTATCTGCCAGGGTCTATGTGAATTTACCAGAGGGTAGACATATCTACACATACTTGGACCCATTTGGGGAGTGTTTTTAGGAGGGGGATGGGATGACTTGACAAGGGAAAATACTGATTTGGCAGCGTACTTTTAGACCAACCCATATGGCGTACTTTCAATCCCAAATCAAGGCACACTTGGGTTAAAAACCCCATAGAACAAGAACGTTCCATGGCTAAATGATTCAGCTTTGAAATGAAATTCCAAGTTTTGCTGGTGGAGCTCCCAGCTTTTTGGTGGAGTTAAACCTGGATTTTTCCCCCCATTTTCTCCGAAAATCCAGAGTTTATTTCGTTCCCCAGTGGTAGGTGGAGGACGACAGGACTGTTTCTCCACTCTCGTTGAGCCCTTGCTGCGGAGCTGTCCCAACTTCCACGTGATCTCAGAGACCTTCTGCCGCAGGGTGCTCCTGGAGGGCAGCGATGGGCTGAAAGCGACAGGTGCCCGATTTTGGACTTTGGGAAGTTGTTTGGACATGGAAAAACATAGGAAACAGGAATGAGAGGTTCAGGTCAAATCCCTTTGAAATCCTAGAAATTGGTTGAAGGGACAATTTGTGATCATTTTGTGAAATATTTGGCGTAAAATACATGGTTTCCTGAAAAAACAGGTGTGGAGCTGGAACTGCGCAGCGGCAAAATTCTCCAAGTCCAATGTGACAAAGAGGCAGGGGATGTCCATCTGGGTACGAGTCAATAGTTGAGCAGTGTTCAAGCCGAAAATATCTCGGATGGTCAATCGATGTAGTAAAAACAAACATATATCGTTTTTTTTTTAAATATCCATCATTAGCCTCTGGAAAATATGATCAGTGGCTGCTAACCCCCTAAACACGATAAAAGGAACTTTGTTAGGGGGTTGTGGTTTGACATGGTTTGACTTTTATAGTTCCTAATTTCTAAACTATGATCAGTGGCTGTTAACCCCCTGTTTTTCTGGGCAGATTTACCCGTTAATATCACCCATCATTTATGGTTTGCCACGTTTTTGAAGAAGACAAAACCTGATTTTTCAACCCTTGTAAATGCTGAAAAAAACATTAAAACATGTCGATATGTTATGATATTTGATGGTTTTAACCAGAATTGATGATGTAGAATCAAGCAATGGTGGGGATATTATGGGAATATATATATATATACATAATATGCGTATATCACAAACAAGAATGTGGATTTGCTGGGGGTTGAGTCGGACAACTAGCCAGCCATCTTGGGTATTGCCATTCGAATGGTGGTCTTCACCCAGATTTTACGTATAAGATTATGTAAGCAAGCTTTTACCAGGGAATATTTCTTCTTAGAGCATGGAACTTTTTTTTTTGCGTTTGGATGATTGTTTCAACCATGAGATACCATGAGTTTAAATAGTTTAAATCCAGATTGTTTTTTATTTGGAACAATTTCTACCGTTTCTTTCCCGGCATGATCTGGCAAAGTTTGAAATTTCAAAGCGGCAAGTAGCACTTGTCGGTTGTGGTGGCCAAATTTGCTTCAATTTCATTTCCCAAATTCTGCCTCGTTCCCAACTAAACTCCAACTATAATATTGATGCTTAGTTCTACAGTACTCTACTGTATTCATCTGTAATGTGGTTAAAACAATTTCATAAACCATCCCCCAGTCATCAGCATTTTTATGGGTGGTATAGACTCTATATATAGACCATCAAAAACAGTGTGGTTTATGGCATTGTTTTAACCACATTAGTGACTAAATCATGGGATAATTCATCCATTTAAAACGTGTATTTTCCCATGATTTTCCCATGTTTTTGCCCAGATTTCTGGACACAGAGTTGTCATCAGATAGCCACGTTTCGCCACGTGTTAACCCTATGAATAAAAGATGAATCGATCATATATCATCATAAAGATCATATATGATATCATATATGATATCATAATATCGATCCGGATAAAGAATTGGGAAATCCCCATCATATACCATCATATTATCCCATAATGTTTGTTATGTTACATCACCATTGTATGCCATCAACAATTCTCAATGTGATGGGCTAAATTCACCAACTAATCCCAATCTCAAAAAAATAAAACCATTCTCAATACCGTTTCTGGTGTTAAATCTCACTCCCAAGTTAGTTGCAGTAGTTAGTTAGCTAGCTAGTTTGTTTCTTATATACTTTGTTAAAAGGATTCCCCAAAAAATTGCATATCTGACAATCGGGGATCGTCCAGTTATAGCCGTTTTCTAGCCATTCAATGCAGAAAGTTTGATCTAAAAAAAAGACCACCAAATTTGGGGTTCCCCCGAGATTTTCAGACACATCCATATTTGTGAATATCCATTTTGGGAACCGATTGATTGGAGGTACCTACCATATATAAGGCCTATGCAATGTAAGGCCTATGTAAGGGAATATCCCCACAAAATATGGCCTTATATGGTACAGTACCTCCATTTTAGGATCCTGGAATTCCCATTGATATTTGTGAATATCCATTTTGGGAAATACTACTAAGCAACCAGCTGTAATCAATCCATTAATAGGGATTTATATACATAACCATTACTGGTTGGTGGTTTGGAACATGAATTTTATGACTCCATGTATTGGGAATAAGGTGAACAACTGACTTTCACTCCATCATTTTTCAGAGGGGTAGGTTGAAACCCCCAACCAGTTTGTGAATATCCATTCCCCTAATGTTGCATATCCCGAAAAATGCTCAAAATCAGATTCAATGCTTAAGTAGACATCCCTTCGAAAAAAAACCCTGGGTTTTTTCGGAGGTGTCACTTAGGGCTGAACTTCTCGACGTCCCGAGACCATCGACCATCCGATTTGTGCAGGTGATTTTGAGCGCCGGCGCCCTGCTGTCCCCACAGCTCTTGATGCTGTCGGGCATCGGGGATGCGAAACATCTCAAGGAGCATGGCATCCCATGTGTCCTGGATCTGCCAGCGCTTGGAAGGACGACATGTCGACGTTGCTGGCTTCGGGTGGGCTCTGTTGGTGGGTCGCTTCGACTTTTGGTCAACATTTATTATAAGCTCAAAAAACACTTTTTTATCACCGAGTATTTAACATGGGATGGGGGTATTTTTTATGGCTCAATTGATCTTGAATGTTTTTTTTTTTGAAAGGGGGGGCTGTTCGGGAGGTAGCGGTCGTGGTCTGTTCGCGAGAAAGTGGTCATGATGAACCAGTGGATTTTTCGGGTTGTGTGCCAAACATAATTTCCAATTCTCCAGGGGCTGGTGAATAATGAAACACCACCCAGCCATTATGATTTTTTTGCTTCAACAGATACTTCTGTAATACGTGATGTTCAAAACTCACCAATAGCGACATTTACCTGGTGCCCGGGTAAATTTTCATTATGATAGCCTGAATCTAACATCAAACCAGCTGCGAAGCAAACTAGCATCAATTAGCAAAGGATTTGAGGTACTCGAGCCATCGATCGTTGCTGGGGATTATGGGATTCTGATAGCGCCTGATGGGAAAGCCTTCTCAACCATCTAGTATTCAATGGATTGGTTGTTTTGACATTTTACAGCAGCCCCATATGAAAAATGGGAAAAGCACGCTTAAAACTGATGGTTATTACCTCCACTCATGGTAATAAACTTAATCAACTAATCATCTGTTGATTCCCCAACAAAACCGGTTTAAGCCCCGTATTTAATGGGAAAATCGATGGTTTCCGGTGATGTTCCCAACAAAACCAATCCATTGAATCTACCCTCTGGTAAACTAACGTAACTATGGAAAATCACCATTTTTGATGGGTAAACTCACTATAAATGGCCATTTTTAATAGCTTTTTGTATGTTTACCAGAGGGTAGGTCCGGTCCTCTGTTTCTGGCAGATTTTTTTCGGAGAGGAACCTGTCGGACCATCCCATTTTACCCGTCCTGGTGGAGATGCCAGGTGGGAATGGGAGATTTATAAGGTGCCACTGGTGATAAGTTGATCTGTAGAATTTTATAATCCGTAAAGCCATCTAAATAGCTATAGTTATAGCTAGTTTATAACTTATAATCTAACTATGGTTACAGCAATGGATTGGTTTAGCTGGGAACATCTTAACCGGAAACCATCGATTTTCCTATTAAATACGGGGCGTAAACCAGTAAAAATTCCCAAAAAACCAATCCATTGATTATAACAAGTTTATAACCCCAACTTTGGAGCTGCAACTTAGCATAACTTAACTATCTTTTGGAGGCCTCACCTTGTAGGATACATTTTTTCGGTTTGGAAGCTGCTCAAAAGATCGATGGATTCATAGGGGTTGATAGGGACTGAAGCTGGGAACTATACGTTTTTAATGAGATAAACTGGGGATATAACTGGGCTTTACAATTTATATATATATATATTTTAAGGTTTTTGCAGTGGATATAACTGGGCTTTATAATGGGATAGGGATTTCCAGTGGAATATATATGGGATATCTCCACATGGGAACCTGACCAACTGACCACCGCCATCTCAAATGCACCCTCCGGCAATCAATGGCATGGCAGGACATCTTCCGAATTGTCATGGTGTTTTAATATGGCAGTGTGTCAAAACCTTGGTAAATAGCTGGTGAACATCATTAAATAGCTGGGATTACTGGATGTTCATTCCCCTAAAAATGGTATTAATAGGTATTGATCCATACCCATATGTTTCAATGGGAATGTCATGGAAGCAAATGAAGGATTTTCCAGCCACGTTTCATCGGACACCAGAGGCGAATTCTGTGGGGCTCCGCTGAACGAATGGTCACAAGTTCGAGCAATCTTGATGGCGTACGACCCGTCCCGTGCTGTTGACGCACGTTTTTCCTTTGTTTATGGCTCAACATGATGGAGTTCAGTCTGAAAATGGTGTATATTTGTACACCCACGTATACCCGAAATCCACTGTTTGACGATCATTTTCCCCATTAAATTATATTAATTGGCCACAACTTGGGGCACACTATTTTCAGAAAAAAACATAAGTAGCAATTTTTTGCATGATCAAACAATGAAGATATTGTCACCCCCGGGGTCATCAACCCCTAAGCTGTTCAATTGGGGGTGTACCATTTTGGTAGCGCATCATCACTTTTGGGAAGTCTCCTCCCTACTTAGTGGGATAATCATGGAACTATTCATGGGATATTCAAGGATTCATGGGGTGTTCATAGGATATTTATGAGACATGGGGATATCCATTGGTTTAAAACCTTGGGACTTACCCTCTGGTAATTTAACATAACTATGGAAAATCACCATTTTTAATGGGAAAATCCACTATAAATCACCATTTTCACTAGCTATTTTGACATAACCAGAGAGTAAACCTCCATTTTCTGATGGTTTTCCCATGGTTTTCCTATGATTTTCCAAGCCCAACTTCCCCTAACCATAAATCATGGCGCCCTACCCGTTTTCCTTCCCCGTGATCGCCGGCGCCAGACGGCCGGAAGCTGCCGAGTCGTTTCCAGAACTCCTGCGGGACGCATGGCGTCTACTTCTGGCAGTCCAAGATCGGCCAGAGCCGCGAGGAACGTCTGGGGAAACCTGGCTTTGTTTGGTCGGTGTTGGGTGATTTTTTTCATTTTCCCAATGGAAAATTCACCATGACTGGGGAATCTCCACCATGGCCCATTTATAGATGATTTTCCCATTCAAACCTCCATTTATTCACGGGATTTTCCATGGCTATGTTAGTCATAACCAGAGGGTAATTTTTTTTTTGGCGACCCCGAGTTAGTTTTTAGCAAATCCAAGGAAATCCATGGGAAGTGACCTGGAAACCATCTTCAACTCACGAATCGAACTGAGTCTCTATCCCAAGGTGGGAGGGGATGCAGGGGATGGGTGAGATGGGTAGTAGAGAAACTCGTGAAGCTTGGGGACTTTTTTAGTTGGGGATAACTGTTAGGTATGTACCCTCTGGTAATTGGTAAACCTACAAAAAACTGATTGGAACATCACCATGCTATTAATGGGAAAATCAACGATTTCAATGGCCATTTACTCCTCCAATAGTCATTTCATCCAATATTTTTTTTTTTAATGGTACCCTCCCAATGAAACAGCCGTAAACAGGTTTATTAATCCAGGGTTCACATTAGCCTCTGGCAATTTGTTACCTGTTGAAGCGATGGCCGCATGGCCCATAAATGGTGATTTTCCATAGTTATGTTAAATTACCAGATGGTATATATTCCACTAGAAATCCCTATCCCATTATTTTCAACCCAGTTACATCCCCATTTATTGATATATATATAATATATATATATATACCACTACAATCCCTACATACCAGAGGCTATTTTGGTTTAGTGGAAAGAGGAAGTGGCTCTGCGGAGAAGTCGTAGAGTTTTCGTTCGAGGAAGTAGCTGGCCCACAGCTCTGGTTCGCGCAGGTATTTTCGACCAGCCATTCCAATGCCTTACATCGAACGTTTTGGTCATGCCTGTCCGTGTTGATTTTTTTTAAAATGCACAAGTTTCTAGCTATACTATTTACTGTCATAAGTGTTGCAGACCACTAGCTGTACAAGATATAGGTGAATGACAGGAAGCAAACAAACATGGAAAATCCTGTGGTCAAAGTGTCAAAGAAGAAACAAGGTGCACATGTTCCATCGACCCGGGCATTCATTCTTCCAATGTTTCCTTTCGGGACATTTTCCCATATCACCCTGCTGGTTGCTCAAAAGAAACTTTTTTTACAAACAAATTGGCATATCCCACAATGTGATTCTCAATTGTTGGCAGTCCCATGACCAGTGCTTGAGCATTTCCATTTGCATCGTTTATGTATCTTTATGACTATTTTTTTTTGTTGAAAATCATGTGAATTCCAAATGTTGTTTAATCTAAAATTTGGTTAAATCTTTGGAATTATTGGTGGCTCAACCGCCACGCGGTCATGCATATGTTTCCCAAGTCATCGCTTCTCAACATCTCCATTTTAAGCACCAGTTGTTAAGTTGGATGAGCATCAAAGTTTGGTTGGTTGTTTGGTTGGTTGGGACACGCACACATATATATATACATATATATATACATATATATATATACACACATCTCTCTATATCTCTATATCATGTACCCAATTTATGTCCAGCATATCCCCATCACCTTATATAAATATCTCGGGTTGCCCTCCAACCCCTGCCCCACATCACCAGTCACAAACAACGGTGGTTGCGGCGGGTCATGACCATCCTATGGGTTTCCACACCTATGTTCGTTTGTCCTATGGTAATTGATGGTTGGTTGTTGACTATGGAGGTTGTACTATCTATAGTATGCATCTATCTAGGACTATGGAGGTTGTACATGTTGGTTGTTGACTAACATAGTTTGATTAATCATTACTATGCATCTATCTGGGTAAATTATGGTAAATTTATGGGAAACCATCCCCTAATAGCCGCAAAATTCAGGTTAGTGAACTATTATAATTTACCCAGATCTATGTTCGTTTACGGTACCATTTTTGTTTACTTTTTGAGCGATGCCCGTTTATTGATGTTTATTGCATATCATTGCCGGTTTTATTCATGTATACCATTGTATACCTTCATTTGTTAAATCCCAGTTTCTTGTCGTCAAATCCCAGTTTCTCTTCGATATCCAGCCCAACCAATTCTTGGAAAACAGAATCCCTAAACATCTCAATTTAAGAACTATGACATGATGTAAAAGAACATGGTTCAACTTCAACGGGTCAAAACCCTGGCTCCGTAGGTACCCTAAAATAGCTGGTTAATGATTATGGATGGTTATGCTCCCAGTCATATGGTATTTTCATAGGTTTCGACCCATCCCGACATTTGTACACAAAAAGTACGGATGTGGGCAAAACAATAATTTTCACCATCCATTTGGGAATAGTTCAAACACATTTTATAATATTTTATACCACCCATGTATGGTGATGACTGGCGGATGTTTTTTTTGTTGTTTTACCCTCTGGTAAATTAACATAGCTATTGAAAATGGACCATTTACAGATGATTTTCCCAATAAAACCTCCATTTATAATGGATTTTCCATAGCTAAGTTAAATTACCAGAGGGTAACCACAGGGAAGAACCCCAGGGCCCCAGTTCTTTTCCCCAGGTGATGGTCCATGAACTCGCTGCGTTGTTGTCGAAGCTCACCGCAGACTATCGCAGCTGGCTGCCGCTGCGATTCCTGTCGGACCTGGCGTTGCAGTGGGGACGCTGGAAAGAACGCAGTGGAGACGGGGCCTTTTCGAAAGCGTTGGAGGTGACGAAGAAGATACCCTCTGGTTTTGTCAAAATAGCTATTGAAAATGGCCATAGAAATAGTGGATTTTCCCATTAAAAATGGTGATTTTCAATAGCTACGTTAAATTACCAGAGGGTAAATTGGGTGAAAACGGATGTGAATACTTTGAAGATCTTTGAAACATGTGACTTTAGATGTTTCGATCCATGATGATCAAGGACTGTTGATACTGTATTTTAGATGTGTTTCTGAATGTTTATAAGAAGTAAAACAGAGAATAGAAATCAAAGATTGCATTTTGGCAAAGAAACAATGACGATTGAACCAATAAACGCACATGTGGATTTATATCAATAAGAACTATGGATGACAGAGTCTCATGCGGGCTTCTGATGAAATCACCCCAGAACACTGGTGGAATCGTTCGTTTCAGTGTCCCATTTCGGGTAGCCCTCAGGAGAGACTAATTCCATAGAATTTCACAAGAATATCACCATGCTTAGTTGGTAAATGTTTAACATATGTGAGCCCAAAGTCAGTAAATTCATATTTGTTTCCTGAATTGTGTGATGTTTTTTCCAATCTTTGATGTTTTGACATCAGTCAATGTTTGCTTTTTTGTCATGCAAAGCTTTTCCCATCGGCTCAGCTGATGACCATCTTGAACCATCCACAAAGTCGTGGTGCGGTGAAGTTGCGATCTGCTGATCCGCATGCGGCGCCTGCGGTGGATCCCAATTATCTGTCGGAAAAGGAGGATGTGGATGCCATGGTGGAAGCCTTTAGGCCGGTAAAACAAACGGATGTGGATGTGGATAATGTGTTTAAGGGACGTAGTACTGTTTAACCCAAGGTGGCTTGATTGATAATTTTTTCGATACTAATACTTTGGGAGATTTTTGAAATGGTTGAATCAATTGAAGGTTGATGTGAAGGTGTGGGCTTTTTTTCATGGATGCTGTGGTTGGTTCTTGCGGTTACCGAACTTTTTCTGTGGTGGAACATGTGGAACATTGCCATGTCGGCCGGGCAGTTTAGTTTGTTGAACGGCGCCCAGGGGCCCGGGTGTTTTCAAATTTGGGAATTCTACCACTTGATGGTTTACTTAGTTTACTTTGGCAGGGATATCATTTTTGAACATAGTGAACAGCCTGTGTGTCGACTGCAATTCTCTCCGTATAACATCAAAATTAGTTTGGAGTGTTCCATGAGTGTCATCCACTGATTAATCCATGTTAATCCCAAAGGATTGCTTTAATGTCCAACTTCTTGTTGGCTACCTTCTTATTTTTGCGCCACATTATATCATTCTTGATGGCTCTTGCCAGGATATATATATTATATTATATAGACTGTTTGGTATATCCTGGCGAAACTTTGCTTGGGTAGGTGAATATAGGTGAATCAGGAGTTGATTTTTAGCTGTACCCTCTGGTAATATGTTACAGTTCGCTATAGAAAATCACCATTTTAAAGTTCGGTAAACCATCTATTTCTATGGGCCATGGCTTCCATAGCTTTTTGTATGTTTACCGGAGGGTAAACAAATAAATACAACACCAGTAAGAATTGCCAGGCTGTTGAGAGATCAACCGCTAGGAAACCGGACTTGACGAAGCAAATGGTGCTTCCTACCACCATAAAATGTCAATTTACTGGTCATATGTTCCAATTTCATGGTAGTAAACCGCCCCATTTCCGTTGTTTCAAACGTGAACATCACCCTGCGCCAGTATTTTTAGCGCTTGGAATCAACAAAATCCAAGGGTGTTTACCCACATTTTTCTCGGTTATAGCCTCCAAAAGATAGTTATCCAGTGTTTCCAGGATACTTCGATAATGTTTTCCACTCATCTTTTCCTAAGATTTTCCACATCAAGCGGCGTCTGTGAGGCTTGCTATCCATATAAAAATCATCCCCTGAAATCCAATTCAATCCCCATCATCTCCAGATGAAGAAATGCCAAGATGCTAAGGTGAAACCCAGATTTTTTGGTGGTGAAACCCAGATTTTTTTGAAAAAATGGTTGCTGAAGTTGTATATCCTCCCATTAAAAATATCCCCATGAAGTTGATCCGTTTTTTGCCGCATTTTTGTTGGTTGAAATCCCAGTGTTTAATCCCATCATGTCACCTTTTATGGTTGGTCATCAGATCACTCACAAAGAAGTAACAACGAACGGCAAAAAATAAGAACTAATCATATCTATCAACTAGCATTAACTAGCAACTCATAATTAACAACTATAACTGCAACTAGCAACTCGTAACTAAGTAACTAACTAGCTGACTGACTGACTAACTAACTATATAACTAAGTAAGTAAGTAAGTGTCTAATGACTTAAGACAGTCCATTTTTTCCACCAGGCGGATGCTCCGCATCTTCTCCGCTCCCTCCTTGGCGCCCTACGTCTATGCCTTTCATCCCGCCACACCAGCAGTGGATGCGACCGAGGTGGATGGGGGAGGGGAATGGTAACCATTAAAGCCACTTAGGAATGATAACGAAAACTAGGATTTTCAGGGAAAACACACATATAATTATATATACAGTATATACAGTATATATACCTTTATACACATATGTATATGTATATATATATATGGAAATCGATGATCAATGGGACTAAAAAGAGGATTTATCATGATGATATTTATCTGAAACACATGAGTTTTGTTTGAAAGTTTTAAGGGAACAGCCCGGTTTCCCCAAGGGTTTCGAATCAGAACTTCCCAAACATGCTCGGAAAATTTTTGGGGGTTAAATCAGTTAAAACCCCATCGAACTTTTGGGTGATATATTTCTTGATATCCTTGGTATATTAATGTCCCTTTGTCCCAGACGTCAACAGATGTCAACAGTCCATCCTCCTCCGTTTGTTTTAACGCATCCCTCTCCGTACCATATCCGCCCCTTTCCGTGGTGGTGCCCCTAGAGCACAGAGAGTCCAGCAATTTCGCCGCTTGCCTACACTCATAGGATTTTTTCTCCACTCATTCTATCTTCACTTCACCATCGTCGAACTCCAAGAATACTCCTCCACTGAAACAGTCCAATACAACCAGATATATCCACTTCCCTCATCCAATTGCTGAAGACAGGGAACTTTGGAAGCTTTCCCCAGCGAAATAGGCACCCATTCCCAGCAGGTGAAATCCTCCATTTACATCAAAACTTCATCAAAACATCGCCAAAAATCACATCATTTGATACAGAATTACCCTCTGGTAATTTAACATAGCTATTGAACATGGCCATTTATAGTGGATTTTCCCATTAAAAATGGTGATTTTCCATAGTTATGTTAAATTACCAGAGGGTAATCAGATTTAGGGATGATGTATTTTCAGCTTATCGCACATAATGCCACCGTAGTAATGCCAGTACAGCAATAGATAGGATCCATCATTTACATAAATTTACCATAAATGGGAGAAATCATCATCAACATATGGGTGGTTTGTTATTGCTTTACTAACAATAACCCCCATGAACATCCCATTGAACCACACAAAAAACCCATTACTAACAGACTAACAGACTAACCCCAATTGTAATCACATTAAACCCATTAAGATCCTCCAATATCCAGATCATCTATACCGCCCCAGGCTGAAATCAGTGACTATGTGCGGAGCAGCATCCGAACCACATGGCACTACAGTTGTACCACTCGCATGGGGCCGGCAACAAAGGCGATGCTGGGGTGAGACATGACATGGGGGATAGGATTGGGGCCCAGGGCTTCCACATAAATTCAGGGAATTGTAGATGATAACATATGATAAGTATAATAATTATGATATAATTGATATGATATTATGTATGTTATAGATTCTATGAGAAGCCGCGGATTTTTTTGTTCCAAATTTGGAGAATGCCACTTTGTAACATGGGAAACATCGCACATTCAGGCCTGGATAGATGGTTACCGTCCGGTTTTTTCAAAGTCGCTGGGAAATATTTCGATGAACATGGAGGTGGAGGTTTGTTTATAAGCTGCGAAAATCATCGAAATAAATGGTGGATTTTCAGTTGCTTCGTTTGGGGACACCGGAGGGTAGCAAGGGGGAATCATGTCAAGAACTTCTTTCCAAGCGTGGCTTATTTCCGGTCAAACATGTACAATGATATGCCAAACATGGTCAATCACTGACTCTGGAGAGAAAAACATGGACACACTGCAAAAACTACCTCTATTCACGCACATGTGATGGTAAAAACCATGGTTCCTGCAACATTTCGCAGAGAAAGGAACCAATCGATTGGGCAGCCTGTCAATTGTAAAAAACCATAACGACCGGCATTTTTCCAAACCTCCCTTGCTGATGAATGGTTTGAACCTCAGATCAGAACGGCGTTGGAACACCATTTGTTGAACATCCCAATTTGAAGCTCATGACTGGGTGGGTTGGTGAATAGGGCTTCCCATTATTTTAAGAACATATAATCCCCGATATATAAAGGGTAGGGTAGTATAACCCCGTGTAATCATCAACCAGCAGGGGTCTAGCAGCCACTGCTCAAGTGGCTGCTAGACCAGTGGGATTTACCCAACGCTTGTTGGTATTTAAGCAACGGAAGCTGGATGGACTGTAATTATGGAAGTTTAAGTGATACTATATATATATATATACATATTATGCATATATATGGGGTGTTCCATAAATGAAGGTACCCTAAAATGGATTTAGCGGCTACCCCTATTTTAGGAAACCTCCATATATCAAAAATGGAGGATTTAAACAATTGAAATCAAGAGTAAAATCCGGGCCGGGAAGATAATGATATACAGCAAGATTATCGGATAGCACAACGAATATGTGCTCTGTGAATCTGACAATTCGGCGGCGTGTTCAATCTGACAAATCGGCCCAGAAAAGTCAGATACAGTCGAAACAGTCGAAATGATGAATCCGAACTGCGGTTATGGCCCTTTACCACTTATAAATCAGTTATAAAGTTATAACCCCATTTATGGAATGATAATCCATCTCATTTATAATATTTTAGCCCCATTTATAAGTGGTAAATGGCTCTTTGGATGGTATAGAATGACTTTTGCAGCAGTCTAGAATCAATATTCCATTAACTTCCAGTTGTTACCATCTGGTAATTTAACAGTTTGCTATGGAAAATGCCCAGTTACAGTTGATTTACCTCTTAAAAGTGGTGATTTTCACTAGTTATATCAATGGTAATTTCAGGATCCTAAAATGGAGGTACTGTACCATATAAGGCTATATTTTGTGGGGATATTCCCTTACATAGGCCTTACATAGGCCTTATATATGGTAGGTACCTCCAATTTAGGTTCCTGAAATGACCATTGAGTTATATTAGTTTTCCAGAGGGTACTCTAGGGATTGGAACACTGTTCACTTTTTTTGGCCGAACCCGAACCCTGTCAGGAGAATGTCTGCGACCCACAGGGCCGAGTGCATGGGGTGAAAAATTTGCGTGTGGCCGATGCAGGCGTGGAAGAGCGAATGCGAGCGAGGTAATCAGCTGAGATCAGCTGAGTATGGTGGATTTGTGTGAAAAAAATGCTGTGTGTTGGCTTTGGTCAAATTGGGAAAACACTCATAAACCAGCCATTTGGGAATGGTAAACATACCACATAAAAATGGTGATGACTGGGGGATGGTTTATGAAATTGTTTTACCCACATTAGTTTAGTATAGTTTATATAGTACAGTTTAGTACAACTTACAACTTAAGTTTTTGCTGGGATGATAATGAGGATAAATGGTTATAAACTGTGATTTCTCCATCAAAACTGTAAGTATAGGTGCCCCGAAATCCTGTCTGGGTAGATAAGGACTTCACGAAGGCATCATTTTTGGTGAGGTAATCATCCAATTTTTCCCGTATTTCAGGTTGGTGAATGATCAGAATTCAGATTCCATTGTTTAGCATCAGATTCCCCATGAATATTGATACCCTCTGGTAAACTAACATAACTATGGAAAATCACCATTTTTGATGGGAAAACTCACTATTAATGGCCATTTTCAATAGCTACGTTAAATTACCAGAGGGTATGTTCATTGGGGTGTCATTGAGTATCTCCCATTTTGAGCTGGTAGAAATCATTGGCAAGCTGATACAACAAGGTGGTGCCCAGGCCGCTAAACCATGCTGGTTTCTTCCCAGCGAAAAATACCCTCTGGTAAACTTTCACATAGCTATGGAAAGATCCACCATGCTATTAATGGAACAATCCACTATTTCTATGGCCATTTTCAATAGCTTTTTGTATGTTTACCAGATGGTATCCCAAATTTCATCACAATTTACACAGCTGGGGAAGCAGCGAGCTCGAAATGGGCTATCAGCTTTGGAAGGTCCAGCCGCTTTATGCGACGTGAAATCCCATATACAGGACTGGACAAAAAGCTTGGTGACTGTGAAGTCTCAATGTATATAATGAAAATTGATCGTCTTTGTGAAATCCCTTCCTGGTTGGTGGTTTGGAACATTTTTTATTTTCCACAATATATGGGATAATCCTTCCCATTGACTAATATTTTTCAGAGGGGTTGAAACCACCAACCAGCTTCCTATTTGTTGCTTAAATCCAACGACTCTTGGTAGGTTAGATAGCTCTGAACTCCAGATGTTTGGCGATTCTTCAGAGCCAACCAGGCTTGATGCCGGAAGTGGTGAGTGGCAACACACACGCAGCGTGCCTTGGCTGACTTGGCTGATGGCCCCGCGGCCCCGCTCAAATGGCATTCCACTTCATGCACCCTCCAAACTACCCTCTGGTTATGTCAAAATAGCTATTGAAAATGGCCCATTTATATCCATTTATAGTGAACTTTCCCATTAAACATGGTGATTTTCCATAGTTATGTTAGTTTACCAGAGGGTAACCCGAAAACATCAGAACCCCGGAACCCCCCAAAAACACGGGAGTCAAAATGCCAGGATCATTGAATCATTGTCCTATTTTCGAGAGGATCATATCAACACTGCCTATATTTTTGCTATCCCCATTTTCTCAGGTATAAGTTATATAAGTCAGTTATAACCCCATTTATGGAATGATAACACCATTACTGCTTGGTGCTTTGGAACATAGATGAAATTCCAGAAACACTTGGGAATGAATTTTATCATCCCTCAACTGACGTTCACTCACGCAACATCATTTTTCAGAGGGCTTGAAACCATCAACCAGATTACTATAAGATGTTCAGAAAGGGATGATGAACAATATGATATAGTAATCTGACCATCCATATTAATCTGAACAATATGATATAATCATTCCTTAAATATTGTTTGGGAATGAACATCCATAAGTCCCAGGGATAGTCCCAGGGTGAGTTCACCAGAATGGTGTGGTGATGGTCCAGGTGCGTGATGATTGGCGATCGTATCTCGGATCAGCCCTGGAGGGCCCATGGAGTAACGATCGTAACGATGATCTTGAGGGACCAATTTTGGGGTGATTTTCACCACTGGTAAACGTTTGCAAAAAACGGATGGGAAAACCAGCATGCTTTTAATGGGTAAATCAACTATTTCGACTGGGTCATTTTCAATAGTTTTTTGTATGTTTACCAGAGGGTAACCAGGCTTATTAACCATTTACTAAGTGATTCTCCAAGCAGAAAGCCAGGATATCCAGGATGTAATGAAGAAGATCCTGGTTGATTGGTTATTGTAGGGAGTAAAAAACTACTTGGGTTACTGGGGATTATGAGCTAACCGATAGTAGGGAAAACTATGAACTAGTATTTCATGACATGGGATAGGGGGTATTCTTTGAGGCTCAATTGGCAAGTCAGGTACATAGTCTACAGCTAGGCCATGGAAAATAGCCATGCAAACGATAGGTATATCCTCCACATGAATTTCTGATTTTTTTTTTCAATGGCAAACCCTTCAAATAGAGGATCAGTCATGAACATCGCCAAACACGAGGATTCTATTTGAGAACAAACTATGCAAACTGTTTGACTGCAAAGAAAGCTCGGGGTCGTGCATCGAATGGGTGGATTCTGGTCCCTCTGGTGAGCCCTCCAGTCTCTAACCCGAGCTGCACAACGGCTTGCGCGGAACGAACATGAAAGGTTACCCTGTGTAGTCGCATGACAATATGATAACATGATGTAACATGTCTTTGTTTGCTAGCGGCGGGCTACTATCTTCATGAACCAAATGAACAAAGATATACAAAGATAAAAGGTAGGTAGAATTTGTACAGTATGGGGTTGTCATGGGTAGCCGGAAAATACCCCAAAATTCGAGGGCGAATCACCATTTTTCCGACACCACAAGACGAGGCATCGGATCCTTCATTGTCTCCGAACATGCACCAAAGCTATGAGGCTTCCACTGGTTCCAATAGAGACTGGGACCGAGTTTCAGCTGCAAAGTCAGCTTCAAATCATGAGAAATTCATGGGTTTTATATGGTTTTATAGGGTGTACAGAGATGGCCAGATTGGTTTCTCGCTTCTTAGTTGCTAATCCCAGGCAATGTCATCGGGGCCAGGGATTAGCCAATTATCATTGGATTGGTATAGTATAAGCGGAAATTTACTATAGATTTTGATGGGGAAAGCCATGCTTTACTGTAGATTTTCCCTTCCAATCTAGTGATATTAGCTCCTACGACAGGTTATTAGCTCCGCATCACCTGCGGGTCATTTCCACCCTGGTGAGCAAGCGAGCAGCGTGACGGAGACAAAGTGACGTGACGTGACGGGCTGAAGTGGGATATGACTCAGCTGAAGTTTGGGATTGATTCATAGAATTGGATGATGGGAAAATTTACAGGAAAGCCCCCAAAAATTTGATGGTAAAAACTAAAACCATGGTTTCCTGTAGATTTTCCCCAACAAACCAATCCAATGATTGATGCTGAAGACCGCAATTTGGAAGTCTGGTTGCATCATGTCACATCACATATCACTTTCCCTCTGGTGTCGTCATAGCAGTGGCTGGACATCCCCGAACAATGGCTTAGAAATAGGAGATTTATTGACCTCTTTATCTGGTTGGTGGTGACTGGAACATGAATGGATTATTTTTTCCATTTTGGGAATTTCATCATCCCAACTGACGAAGTCCATCATTTTTCAGAGGGGTAGGTATACCACCAACCAGTTATGATTCTTCATGGAGAAGATTCTTTTCCAAACCATTGGATTCTGGTGTTCCCTGCTGGACACGGGTGAAGCCCAGCAATTTTCACAACATTTTCAGCTTGGAACGTGAACCACAAGACCTCAACTATCAAAAAACTAACGCAATGCAATTCACTGGGTGTTTAGGTGCTACCGTCACGCGAGTTTCCAGAACAATCTCAACATCAGCATCTATCATCAATCCCGAATCTTTTATGTATCCTGACACATCAATACGAATAAGGCAGATAGTAAAGAACATACCAAGAATGTCCAATAACACTGACAACTATACCGAATAAATATCAAAACAATTCCAACAAACATGAGTAAATAAATACAACCATTGAATAAACATGACTGAATAAACATTAGTGAATGTCTAATTAGGGCATGAATAAACATTGGTGAGCAAAGATCGGCACAAAGTCATCATCATCCACTCAAACTCCGAGAACAATAAATTTCACGGATCCTTTCGGATTTCTGGTGCTTGGTGAATGAGGGAATGATCCGTATGAAAATCCATATGAACCATTAGAATTATATAAGTTCCATCTTAACTATAATGATATATATATATAATATATACTATAAATATATTATAATATATTATAATTATCATTCCCCATATTTTTAAATACATTCTAATAACAATCCCATTCCCCCATTCCCAGTTGGGCACTGCCGCCATGGAGAGCTGCTACGACTTGGTGGAGCACCTTCCCGCAGAGTTCACCCGTGACGTGGAGTTGATGCCGTTCCACTGCGCCACGGTGCCTAAGGCGCCTGGACCGCCTGGAGGATTACCCTCCATGGCACATAGAAGTCGTTGATTTATATAGTAAAAATATGTAAAAATGGTGATTTTCCATAGCAAACTGGCACATTTATATAAAGATGGTGATTTTCGAGGATTTTCCATGGATTTTATGGTGATTTCAATGGGAATTTACCAGCCAAAATGGGGGTATCAATAGGAAAGAGCCTCTGGTCATTTGTTACAGTTGCTATTGAACATGGCACATAGAAATAGTTGATTTACCGAACTTAAAGATGGTGATTTTCCATAGTTTTTGTACGTTTACCAGAGGGTGATTAATGGGATTTTTGATGGGAGATGAATGGGATGTGGATGTCAATGGATATGAATGACTTGATGGGATTTTGACTGGGATTTTTGGTGGGATATTCATGGGATTTAGTGGGATATGAATGAGATTTCATGGAACTTTATGGGATTTAACGGGATTTATTTGGATATAACATGATATAAATAGGATTTAGTGGGAGTCAATGGATATGAATAGATTGGAAGATCATGGGATAATCAAACACGGCAGGCCGCTGGAATCCGTCCCTATTTTTGAATGGAGGTTTGCAATGGGAAAATCAACGAACTATATCCAGTACCCAGATGCTCCATGGTGCTGGAATATTTACCTACATGACTGGGTCATTTTGGTGGTAAATGTTGGTAAATATTCTATACATCTGGGTAAATTTCATCACGACCGAAGCCTGTTCTCCCGAAGCCTGGAACCATGGTTAGGATTCGGGGAATCATCCCCAAGTGGCCGCAAGATTCAGCTTAGTGAAATATTATTTCATTTACCCAGATGTTTGATTTCCAGAGGATACCTTCCAGTAAATACCTTCCAGTAAAAAAAAAGCCATGGAAATCGATGATTGCTTCCTGTTCGGAAATGATCTACTAAATGATCACAACTAGTGGAAAACCTCCATATCTATGTATGTTTACTGGAGGGAAGCAATATTTAAGCTGTTGAATCAAACCTAGCAAAACTGGAGGTGTTAAGTATAGATGGATGATGATGATGATGATGATGATGACGATGGTGGCGGTAGTGGTGTTGGTGGTGGTGTTGGTGGTGGTGATGGTGATGGTGATGGGGGTGGTGATGGCGATGGTGGCGATGATGATTGTTGGTGAAACATCGGATTTTTGTTGGTGAAAGCGACTAGAGCTCCTATTTTTGTTTGGTTGAAGTTTCTGTCTAGACTGTCTGGCCAGCAAAAGAAGGACATTTGAGCAGCAAACATGTGGATTTCAGCCAACAAAAGTAGTGATAGAACATGATAGAAGCCAACGAGTATATACTGTAAGGAGCTCACAAACAAAGAATTATATAGATTTAACCCTGAACAGGGACATTCCACTATCAATGGTAGGGATGAGAAGGGGTGGACATTTAGAGACCTGCCGAGAGACCGTATCTCAAAATAGGATTGCTCAAATGACCGATGTTTTTTTTGAGATTCGTGGTATCCAATTTTGAGACATGACTAGAACATGTTCAATGTGCTTGGACGACCTTTCCCAACAGTTTTTTCTCCGGGCCCTCTTCTGTGAAATCTCAACATCAGAGAGCATGCTGTGCAGTGATAGTCGTTGTCAGACATTCCGGGCCCAAAATGACCACCCCAAAGTGGTTCACGGTGCAACATGGTGTAATTTTCTATCCAAAAACATATCAACCAGTTATATGGAGGGTTCCGAAAATATCTGTACCTCAAACCATTCGTTTTTCCGTTGAGAATAAGAATTGCTGGATGATTTTGGGGTTTTCCCGTTTAAAAAAAAACCCGTCCGAGTCGGAGTCCCGCTACCCCAAATCCCGGTGAAATTCCAGCGACCGGAGCCATGAGCCCAAGAGCTCAGCACTGGAAAATCCTCGCCGAGTTGTCTTCAGCTGTTCTTAGGTCAGTGAATGATCATACTTTCGGAATCTTCAGCATACTCTAGCCACACATATACTGGTTGGTGTTTTTTTTTTTTAAATTTTTCCATATATTGGGAATAATGATCCCAACTGACTAATATTTTTCAGAGGGGTTGAAACCACCAACCAGTATAAATTAAATGTATTTAAATGTACAATACCCAAAAAATCGAAACGTGACCCATACAATGATTCCTTTACCATCTGGTTATGACTAACAGTTCGCCATGGAAGATCCACCATGCTATAAGCTAGGTAAACCATCTATTTCTATGGGCCATTTATTTTCCATGGCAAACTGTAAACGTCATAACCAGAGGGTATATCCCATTAATATCTCATTGAATCACTATAAAATCCCATTGAATCACTATAAATCCCATTAAATCACTATAAAATCCCATTAAATCACGATAAATCCCATTGAATCACTATAAAATCCCATTAAATCACGATAAATCCCATTAAACCACGATAAAAATGGGGATTTCACTTCTTCAGTGGCAATTCGATCAGGCAATCTGCGGAGAACTGATGAAGATTCTGGATCCACTGGGTGAAGAGTTGAAACATTTGAAGAGAGTCAGGCTGGGAACGGAAAAAACAGTCTGTGTTTATGTCTATAACCATCAAGAATAGACTTTAAGAATGTTTTAACAATCAACATGGGGATTTTATGGGGATATAATAATGAGATAATGATAATATCTATATATATATATATACATGTTTATACATGAGCTATATATGGGGTATTTAATCGGGATCCGATCAGACATTTACCTCTAGAAAACCACCAATACTGGCTATGCAATAGAGATTGATGGGATGTTTAACCAACTTGACATGATAGTTGGGGTTGTCTCAACATGGGACCCAAATTGGCAACTTATTCAAATTTAATGGTGACAATGATGAGGAAATATGGGCTGGAACGGGGTCGTAGAAAACTTGAGACAACCCCAACTGGGTTTGAACTGAGAGTTTTCAGCTGGACTGACAGATTTTTTGTGGTTCTGGTTTTGGTAACTTTCCAACATGGAGAACATCGAAATTGCTTGGCTGTTGGCTTGCTTGGCTGGATTTAAAATACCAAACGCTCAGTTTTGTTTTTTTCGAAAAATGATTTCCCCATGAAAATCTCATTACCCTCTGGTGAACGTTTACATAACGAACTGGCAAATCACCATGCTATGTAGCTGGGCAAATCAACGATTTCGACTGGGCGTTTCCAGTTCGCTTTTTGTATGTTTACCAGAGGGTACCATCTGGTTATTTAACATAGCCATGGAAAATGGCCCATTTATAAATGGTTTACCTATTAAAAATGGTGATTTTCCATGGCTATGTTAAATAACCAGATGGTACATAAAATCACCAAATCATGCTGCCAAAGCCGGGGATGTGGAAACCAAATCGACGAATTTTTTTGTTTCGACATTCGTGGTACCGTGGAACGTCACGAAACCAGCTGTACCCTCTGGTAATTTAACATAGCTATTGAAAATGGCCATTTATAGTGGATTTTCCCATAAAAAATAGTGGTTTTCCATAGCTATGTTAAATTACCAGAGGGTACATGTTTTTTTTCCCTCTAAAGCCGTGTTGGAGCAAACAAGAAATTCTGATTGGTGGTTTGGAACATGAATTGTATTTTCCATTTCATATATGGGATGTCATTGACGAACTCCATCATTTTTCAAGATGGGCACACTGCACCACCAACGATGATTTTCCCATTAAAACCTCCATTTATAAGGGATTTTCCAACACTGGTAGTAAAATCATGAAATACCCCCCACTTCTGGTAGTAAAATCATGAAATTCTTCCCGTGTTTAGATTGCTACAGGTCCAATGTCCTGAAAAAGAGCAGAAACAAAAAGCAACGGGGTCCCCGTTTGTTCGTTAAAAAAACAAATTTACCTCTATGTTTGTTTGTTAATTCCGCATTTTCCCCTATGTTTATGACATTTTATTACTAACTCCCAATTTTTCCCATCAAACATTCAACACCCCATAAGTGGTAAATCTAAATCCCCTACATCCATGCTTTCTAGGAGCTTTTTACGGCTGTTGGACCGCTGTTGGATGGATTTGGAGGACCCAAAAAGCACATCTCAGGCCGTCCTGCGATGAGTTGGCGGTCCTCTTGGGGGAAGTTCTGCCTGACAAAGTGCTGCAGTTTCTCCAAGTGCGTCAAATCACGCCAGAAGCCCGGCGCCATTTCAGGTCACGGGGATTTCATGGGGGATAGCCGGCCTGGTAAACATACAAAAAGCGAACTGGAAAATGGCCCAATCGAAATCATGAAATCGTTGATTTACCCATTCAAAATGGTGATTTTCCAGTTCGTTATGTAAACGTTTACCAGAGGGTATTGGGAATTTCATCATCCCAACTGACGAAGTCATATTTTCAGAGGGGTAGGTAGGCCATCAACCTGTCATTGATTTCATTTTGTGGATATTCAATCCAGTTCATGTGGGATATATCCAGTCCCATGGGGATTTCATGGGATTTAAGGATCAAATCCAGCAACAAGTTGCGGGATTTTTCGTAGGACTTCATCGGATTTTTCTCCGGGAGATCTCTGGATGAATTCCGATGAATTCCACTGGTCACAGTGCGACGTCGCTGGAAACATGGTGAATGATCATACTTCAGCCGCAGCCCGAAAAAATCGTAACCACCAAAAAGATAAAAAACAACGTGATTTACCAATAATATCCAATAATTACTTTCGGAGACAGTGATGTAATGTGATGTACTTTTCTATTTTAGTGTTTTTAGTAGCATTTCACTTTTCTATTTTTTTTTGAGTTGCTAAGGTGAAAATGATTTGTCTTATGAACGCCCGATGGAGAACTGGGCACAACCAACATCAAAAAAATGACTCATGTCGTCCAAAGATGGCTGACTCAGTTGGTGCAGAATCACCCTACATTCATAGACAAAAAACATTGGATCTATGGATATCTATGGAATATGAATATACAATCATATCCGAAAATATTGAGTACATTTGGATGCCCTCCAGTAAACCAACATATGGAAGATCCACCATTTGTAGGTCATTTCGGAATGGGAAACGCATGGATTTCGGCAAATGGTGAATTCTCAGTTTGAAAATGCGTACCCGGAAAACCCCGACAATTATGAGTAGCAAGCAAATCTTGTATCATATTTTCAGAGACATCCATATAGTCTTAGAGTACTGTACTGAAAGTAGGACATTCTATGGCCCATTATCCCAAAATTGGATTGTTTGATTCCAAAAATATCAAAAACATCCCGTCGGGGGGAAAACCACGCCAGCGGTTGTGAGCGTTTTGAAGACCATGTCGTTTTCGCCATAGCGAAACTATTGACTCATTGCACAAAATAGGCTGAAAATTCCCTGGGAATTTGAAGTGCATTTCTGATGATGTCCGGTAATTTACAGGGAATTTGCTCTTGAAAACGCACGCGATGTTTTCCTCCTTTCACATCGCCATGCGCTTCTTCAAAGAGCGACCAGTGACCTCCAAAAGGTTCTTGATTTGGAGTTCATCCAACGCCATTGCCACACCCTGATGTTTCGCATCAGTTTTGGGTTCACATGGCTGTTGACTCTGGTCGCAAGACTACATGGTATGGCCGATTTTATGAAACATAGCACTCTGATTTCCGTTATTTCGCGGTGGATGCCGGACATGCCATCCATTGATGTCCGAGCATTTCGAGTTCGAATGTGCGGCTCATTTTGATTTGACCTTTCGCAGTTGTGGGGATGTTTTTCATCCGGTGCTCGCTGACTTCCAGTGCAGCATTTTTCAACAACATCACGTAGTGCCCCAAATCGGAAGATTAATTTCTCGCATTTTGACATTTGGACCTTGTGGGGTATGGATTTCGTCGCAGATGTCACAAAGCATTTACACCAGCCTAGGTGCCGTGACACACGGGCAAGCTCTGTCACGAGGAGGCGAGCCTGCCCTCAACAGAGTTCTGGTCTCGGAGCTTCGCCAAGTTCGCCACGCTGAACTTGTAAACAATCAAATGGTGGAACAGAACCATTCCGTTGATGACCAATACCATGAACCTCAAAGAAACATGAAGAAACTTGACGTGTTCATATACTTTGATCTGAGGACCCGGCCCGCATCCGTGAAGAAAAAGAGGCCCACGGTGCCATTTTCGTCCCTTTGTGGAACTGATATTTCCCCATGAAACTGACTTAAAACATGTTCGAGATTTGCAACGCTCACCCGATGCATGGGATTCGGGCTTTGTGATGAAGGAACCGCCAGTTCGTTGCTGGGAAACGCGAAAATGATGCCAGATCAACCTATGAAGTATGGCTTGGAGAATTGCAGGAACGGATGCGTCAGTCAGCGCGAGCTGCGCTGCAGGCGCACGATTTGGAACCAGAATCCAAAGATGGCTTGGAAGTGCTGGTGGTGTGTTCCAGCTTTTGTGGAAATGTGGAAATCTGTTTGTATGTTTGTATGTGTGTTCTATCGCCAGGCCATTGCTGACTCCTTGGCGGAGCAGCAGACCCGGCAGACGACAAGCAGCAGCAGGGCAAGCGGCCGCACCAAAAAAAGCAGGTGGGAAAGACAGTGACTGCAAGTGGGCATCCCAATTCATAGGCCAGAGGCCGAGTTCTAGGGTCGCCCAAAAACGATGAAAACCACAGCCAGTTTCTAGTCAGCTTTGGGGATCGCCAGCTGCTGCAAATTTTCTTTGGGATGCACATAGTTGACATAGCTACTAGCTGAAACGTGTTGAAACATGTTGAAACCACCAACCAGATTCAAAACAGCGGTTGGCCCTTCTTTGTAGTTGAAAGTACTTTAGAACGGCAACTGTGTTTTCAGCAACAGGAGTGAACATGAAATGTGCATGAATTGGGGTCCCATATTGGGGCTGCTGGATTCAATATTTGGAGGATGCAGGAAGGGACCCCCAACTATGATAAATTGGTTTTTAGATTGTATAAAAAAGCAAATCACAACATGAAGCTTAGTGTCGACAGGTTACAAGGTAGTGCTCCTGTTTACCCAAGACGTGACGTAGCATGTGCATGTGACGCAAATTAACATGAACCTTAACACACCCCACCCCCCCGACCCAGTAATATATGCGTGTTTCCAAAAACGTGCACGACTACTGGCGCGGCTGTCCTGCCGCTGGCAAAAGCATGACATGGGTTTGTCTGAGGATAGGGGTACCCCATTCTATCCAAGGATCAATCATCATTATTCCAACTATTTGACGGCCACAACTGGGTGGTATACCCTATTTCCAGATATCAAGTTGGTTATACATCCCATCATTCTATCTCTATTACATGCCTGTGATTGTTGGGTTTTGCGGACATAAATCCGTATTAAATCACCATCAAATATATAAAAATAGAATGGTATGGTTCAAAACCAAATAGACATGGAAACACATCCATCAACACGTCATAAACATCAATTTCTCATTTTGACGGCTATGGATGTCATAGGAATCCATCTTTTGGAATGAACCTCCATAGGTCCATTTTCACAATTTTCATGTGAACACCCTGGGATTCCATGAGTCTTGGAGGATCCCATGAAAATCAGTGGCATAACCCCACTTACCGGTAATTCAACATAGCTATGGTATACGCGGCCCATTTAGTTTGATGTACCGATGTACCGAAATAAAAGATGGTGATTTTCCATGGTTTTTTGTACGTTTACCAGAGGATAAACCTCCATTTATAGATGGTTTATCATGGTTTACCTATTAAAAATGGTGGCTTTCCATAGCTTTTCGTATGTTTACTAGGCCGGGTAACCACTTCGTAAGATGCTGACCCAACCACTTTTCGATGCCGAGGAAATGGTGCAAGTGCCGCGTTTTTGCCCTCTGACCGCAGAACAAATGGAGAGTTTTTCCAGGCGGATCGACAAAGTGATGAGGAAATGGTGACCAACTTAGTTTATAACCCACATCGCCATGGATCAATACCTATATATATATATAAATATATATATATATAAATACCTATAAATACCCCTAAATACCATTTTTAGGGGGAATGAACATGCATAAATCCCAGCTACTTAATGATGTTCACCAGGGGTACAAGGTTTTGACCCATCCCCATATGGGGATTTCCGTAAATGGGGGGTTCCCCAATAGCTGGTTGGTATATTTCATGGAAAATCCTATTCAGATGGATCATTTAAGGCTCCCCCCTTTTGTGGAAACCCCCATAAAGCTTTATAAGTGAAGATATTCCGATTTTTTCAGGTAAAACTCGGTCTTTAAGCCATCTACGAAGTGTGATGCACACCCAAAGTTGAGAAAAAAACAGTGACAATTTCCCATGGACATTTTCTATGATTCGATCTACAGAAAAACAAAACCATTGACCACAGCATAGCGTCGATTCTGAAAATGGTGGCTTTTTCTTCCCAGGCTCTCTAAAATTGAAGAACTGAACTGCGGAAACCCTGTGTTCTTCGCAACCGGGGGCTGGCTTTCCTCCGTTTTTTTTTTGGGCGGTCGCAATGGACCGGTGATGTTTTTTTTGCATCAAGCACCAGCAGTTTTCACCAATGCCTGGAAGTGAGTATCCACTAAATCCTCAATTGATCCCATTGAAATCCCATCAAAAATCCCTATAGAAAGCAACGTCTGTGTACCATTTTTTGATCACTGCGTCACTGTGCACCATTTTGGGTGTCACTGGAAAGTGTATGAAAATGCGTACGGCTAACCTCCGACAAGATCGAGATTGGTGACGGCGAACTTTTCGTCCGAAAATTGCACGACAAAAAATGGTAACCAGATAACTAGCTCAAAGTGGAGCATCAAAAATTAGGCATGTTTACCCTCTGGTAAACGTTTACATAACTATGGAAAATCACCACTTTTAATAGGTAAACCATTGTAAACCATCTATAAATGGAGGTTTATCCTCTGGTAAACGTACAAAAAAACAATGGAAAATCACCATTTTTAATAGGTAAATCAACGAACTCAATGGGCCATTTTGTGTAACTACAGTGGATGATGGCGGAACCTCCAGCCCCTGGAAGACACTGGCCGGTGAAGAAGTTGGTCCCGTCCTTCCAGCCTCTCAAGTTGACGCAGGAGATGGGCCAGGTGAAATTTAGATAACTTAGGAGGCTTAGGAGGTTATAACATGTTATAACTAGCTGTTTGCTTGGAAATTATTACTACCCATAATATGGTTATGAATCAATACCTTATAAATACCATTTATTGAATTTATAGGGATGAACATTAACATCTAAACCAGCTATGAAATGGTGTTCACCAGGGGTTTTGACCCATATCCATATAGGGATTAACCAACCAGTACAATGGGATAGTATGGGATAGGATAGAAGTATTTTTCACGGCTCATTCGGCCTACTTTTGGGTGCAGTTGTGCTTATTAAACGTGATTTTCATGTTTTTCTTTTTTAATTTTACGGTATACCCTCTGGTAAACTAAAACAACTATGAACCATCCATAAATGGGCCATCATAACCGCCTCCCTCAATTTTTAAGAGCATTCTTAGTTATGTATTGTATGCAGCTGCGCAATTTGGAGCGAGCTAAAGCGAGGTAACGAGGTGGAGTTGGCAGATTTAACAAGAGGCATGCGAAAAAACAATTTTTTAGAGCCTTGAAACATTGTTTTTTTGCAAAGCCGGGCTTGTCACTGAGTTTCACAAGGGCAGTGCCGAAAAAACAAATTGAGGTCGCCTAAAATTGTTTTTTTTTTTTTTTCCGGTGCCTGGCTTGACCCCTTCAATCCCGCGAGAAGGGTTCATTCCATTTCATCGTTCAGGGCGGATGCTAAAATACAATTTTTCAAAACCTGATTTTTTTCTTGCAAAGCCGGGCTTGTTTGATCGGTTGGTTCAGGTTTCTGAGGTTCACAAACCCGATTTCATCCCATAGGCCAGTGTCGCTAAGTTTTCTTCAGCTGTAGACTGTAGACATCTTCGCCTATCCCCCAGGGTTTTGGTTAATTTGTCCACCTACTGTAGTTGCATCATCCAGTTCGGGATTTGTGCCCGCCATGATTTTCTTTAAACATATTTTGAGATCTAAAATGGTTTTTGGCGTATCAACATGTACCAAGTATCATAATGAATCTTTCATGATATTTTTCACATTACCATTATGATGGGCCGGCTTTTGATGTTCATTACATTTTGCCATGTATATTTATCTAGCTGGTGGTTTGGAACATTGTTTATTTTCCCCAATAGTTGGGATGATGATCCAATCTGACTATAAAACCGTAATATTTTTCAGAGGGGTTGAAACCACCAATTACTTATTATCGATACTTTAATCACCAAAATCTACTATTCCAATTATCATCAAGTATACCATGGGATTTGCTCTCCATGTCCTGCAACTTTTCAGATTTAGACCTGCCTTCATCACCTTCACTTGTGATAGGCCGTATGCCATACCCTCTGATAAACGTTCACATAACTATGGAAAATCACCATGCTATTAATGGGAAAATCCACTATTTCAATGGCAATTTTCAATAGCTATTTTGACATAACCAGAGGGTATTCTTCCATCATTTCTCCCTCCATCCTAACATTCCAACCTTCATAATCTCACCAAGAATCATGAATTTTCCACCGGTATACTGTCATGCTTAATTGCTAAAACGCTTCTCACCGAAAACGCATGATTTTCCACGTCTAATCCTTTTCCAGGTAATTTCAACATAAAAATCCCATGGATTTGCCATTATTGATTTCCAACTAGCATCCAAAAACATCATGAAACATCAATAATTCTATATAATTTTAAACTCTACTCAAGAACATAGTGTGCCTTTATACCACTACTACCATCATCAAGTATACTAGCATGCCAATAATCATCAAACATATCCCAAGTTCCATAACATTATCATTTCTGTAACCCTACCAAACATCTTCCCATGAGATTCCCTGATGTTCTCACTCCTGATCTTCATAAAACCATGAAAATCTTCATTTTCCCATATTTTCCTATGGATTTCCCTTAGGTTTTCATCTGCAGGAGCTCAAGGACCACTTCGGCCATCTTTTGGGCCTCGCCCGCGCCGAAACCACCGGGGCCGCTTGCGTGGTCTGCGACAGCGCCGGCCGCGTCCTGGCCACGGCGACGACGACAGCGTCCGCGTCCGCGGCGCTGCAGCACCCGGCCATGGTGGCCATCGAAAGGGTGGCGGAGGAGGCGCGAAAAAGGCGCGGCTTTCTTTGGGGACTCTGGGGATTTTGGGGGATTGGGATGGGTTGATGATATGATAATGGATGGTTAATAATGGTTATAATGCAATGATGGTTAATGATGGTTAATGATGGTTAATGATGGTTAATGATGGTTTGAAAGTGTTTAATATAATCTAATTATTAGTGAGTATTTAACGATGAATGTGGGTAAACCAATTTCATAAACCATTCCCCAGTCATCACCTTTTTTTTATAGGTAATATGTTTACCATTCCCAAATGGGTGGTTTATGACATTGTTTTACCAACATTAATGTCAACCTTGGATGATTCATCCTCTAGGCTGTTTCATTGGACCACCACAATTCATAAACAATGTTTTATTAAGCAGGGGTTGACATTACGAATATACCATTGCGTGGGAATATCGTGGGTATACAATGGTGATATACTGTATATTATACAATGGTGATATATATATATATATTATGTGAATATAGTGGGGGTTATATTGGCGGGAATATGATGGGAATGATATAGGTATAACATGGTATAACCAATTTGATGTGGGTTGATCGTGGGCGGAGAATGATGAGTATCATCAACTTCATTAGATTGTATAGGGGATTTTTTATTGGGAAACAGCACCATGTTGAGAATTCAACGGATTGAAGGGACATTTGGCTAATTTGGGGAAAATTGGGATGCAACATTGTGTTTTTGAATTCCAATTTGCAAGTTTTGTGGGGGTAATGTGCATTTTTGTGTTCAAATATCCGGGTGGGTGTTATCGTGTGTTTTTTATTTTGGGTGGCGGGGGTGAATTTACTCACAAAAACACAGATTTGACATATTTGGATTTTAGAAACATTGTGGATTTATGGGATTTATCAGGTATTGTTTGGTGGATTTTGGGATGATTTTTTTGCGGAATTTGCAACATTTTGGGGTTGGAATGGATTTCGACACCAACATGAAAATGAGTGTCTTGAACCTATCCAACCTATCCTGTCATGTCAGGTTTCTGTTGTTTGATGTAAAATTGTACCCTCTGGTAATTTAGCGTAGCTATTGAAAATGACCATTTATAGTGGATTTTCCCATTAAAAATGGTGATTTTCCATAGTTATGTAAACGTTTACCAGAGGGTAATTTAAACAGCACACATTGGATATTCACCAGCAATCATGGAGTTGGTGACAAAACAGATGTTGCAAGAGGGGTGAAGGCCACAGCATTTATTGAATTTTTCTCTTCTGGTTTGTGTAGGTAGATTTCGCAAATTTGAATGGCCATAGAAAGTTCGTTGATTTACCCATGAAAAACATGGTGATTTTCCATAGTTACGTCAGTTTGTAGAGTGTAATGATCCCCAAAACACCTCCTTTTGCGAAGTGGTCCGAATTCGGCAGGTACGCCCAAGGCAAACGCTCCAGAGACGAGGAAGACTATCTGTGCCAAGATTGCGATGTAGTTCTGACCGTCGAACCTTGCATCATGTGTGCCATGGCTTTAGTGCACTCGCGTGTGCGTCGTGTGGCTTTTTGGGCCTCAGACCCTGAGTTTGGTGGATTTGGGGGGAAGATCGCCCTACACCACTGCCAGAGTTTGAATCACCACCCGCGAGTCTTGTTCTGGCAACAAGAGATGAGCACCGGGTGAGGATGGCGTTGGACTCATTGGTGTGTGATTCCACACTGTGTGATTGCATAGCAAGCCTCATGTTTCCAGGATAGTATGGGATGATGTTTTCTCCATATATGTTTTAGGTTTCAAAGAAATCCACTTTAGGATCAGTTTTTCGCATCGCAGCCGTGTTGATGTGCTCAGCCCGGGCGACAGCGCTGCCAGCGCTCGGTAGGTGTTGGTCCATGAGAGTTGACAGTCACTTGGCTATGGACCAATACCTATTAATACCATTTTTAGGGGAATGAACATCCATAAATCCCAGCTATTTTGATGTGAACTACAGGGGTACTATTGGTTTTGACCCATCCCCACTTGGCTAGCCTAAAATCATCCAGTCGTCATGGACCATGACATGACGGCTAGAAACCTATGGTGACGACCCCATGACTTAGGAAACCCCGTGGCTTTGTCTCAAGTGGCGACGATGATTTTTTCATAGGTTCAGAAATGTTAATTCAGCACCATAGAATATATAAATTAAGGTTCCGGCATTTGGCACATATAATTACTGATATAGATATACTGTATTACCCTCTGGTAAACGTTTACATAGCTATGGAAAATCACCATGCTATCAATGGGTAAATCAACGAACTTTCTATGGCCATCTTCAAATAGCTATGGGCTATGGCACCCTGGTACCTGGTGAACCTCTATTGGGGGTACATAAGGCCTATTTTTCAGGCCTATGTAAGGGAATATCCCCAGAAAATGTGGCCCAAAATATGGTACTAACGTACCTCCATTTTAGGATCCTGGAATTCCCTTTGAGTTCATCCCATTAAAATTGATAGATTGATAGGTTTTGACCCACCCCCACATCTCAGATGTTGCGCCTTTGGAGGTTTCAAAACAGTCTTGGTTTGGGAAACTTATTTCCCGCGGCTTTCACCAGGAACATTGACCCTGCCACTGAGGCCATGAGCAAGAGTGAAGGAGTGGGGTGTCTGGCAATTTCTTGGACAAAAACACTAAATATAGGGTATCCCATAGGGATGGGAAATCATGGCTTAATGATGGTTTATGAATGTTTACGATAGTTCATGATGGTTAATGATGGCTTATGGCTACTGGCTAGTGGCTAATGTTGATAGATTGTGGTTTGCCGAAAAATGGGGTATCATTGGGATGTTTCGTGGGATGTATAGCCTACAACAATGATGCCATTTGGTCTCTCCAAGAATGCCAACTTTGAATCGGAAACATATCATGGATCATGGGATTTTTAAGGCGCCTTCATTCAAGAATCCCAATTTACCCTCTGGTAATTTAACATAGCTATGGAAAATCACCATGTTTAATGGGAAAATCCACTATAAATTGCCATGTTCAATAGCTATGTTAAATTACCAGAGGGTATCAGCGATTTTCCCATTTTTACACTTTCATTAGAGGATTCTGCATTGCAATGTTTGACTGCCAGGGGGTAGGATTTCGAAACCATTGGGACGAAAGCACTTGATGAAATCCAGCTGGGGAATCATCCTCATGAGCCGAACTTAAAAAAGGCTCGTGAAATATGAAGAAACATGCCCAATGGCTTAATGATGGACCATTCGTCTCAATTCATCTCAATTCTTCGTTTACAAAACATAGCAATGCACCAAAGGGAATCGGTCATTTCTTTCTTGGCTCCGAACATGAGGGGAAAAAGCACCAAGTCATGGTCATTTTACCCTCTGGTAAACTAACATAGCTATGGAAAATCACCATGTTTAATGGGAAAATCCACTATAACTGGCCATTTTCAATAGCTATGTTAAATGACCAGAGGGTATAGCTTATAGGTGTATCAATCCAGCTATAGTTACCATCTGGTTATGACTAACATAGCCAGTTCGCCATGGAAAGATCCACCATGCTATTAAGTTCGGTAAACCATCTGTTTCGATGGGCCATATACCATGGCAAACTGTAAACGTCATAACCAGAGGGTATATAGGTCATTGATATCCCATTGAATCACTATAAAATCCCATTGAATCACTATAAAATCCCATTAAATCACTATAAAATCCCATTAAATCACTATAAAATCCCATTGAATCACTATAAAATCCCATTAAATCACTATAAAATCCCATTAAATCACTATAAAATCCCATTAAATCACTATAAAATCCCATTGAATCACTATAAATCCCATTAAACCACGATTAGGTCATTATCAAAGCGCCCAACTGAAGTGATTCCAACTTCGCACTTCGACTTCGGCGTAGGACCCAAAGATGGTGCCACCGATGAGAACGCCCGAAATGAAATGGAGCCGGGGAAACCCAGTGATCCCAGTGGTCACCCGGGCTCGGATTATGGGATCTTGAGGTTTTTGAGGCCATACACTGCGGGATTTCATGGGATTTGTAGTTAATCAATGGGGATATAACATGAGATTTTTGTTGAGATACATAAATATATAATGAGATAGGATATGTATATCCTGTATATATGTATAATTATGTGTATATATATACAGTATATACATTGGGATATATCATGGAACTCAAAAACAATGGATCCAGTTATCCAGGAAAACACCTTCTGAAGCATTTGGATCCATAAAACCAATGACAACTGGGATTCAATGGAGATACAATAGGAGATATGTGAGATACGGTCAAAATAAGCGTAGACTACTTTAGTAAGGGAGGATCCAGTTGTGTTGAGAAAGTGCACCAAACCATGTAAAGCGATAGGCCCCCCAAAAAACGATAACTTGTAACCATATGAGACTGCATTAAACTTGGTGTAAACCAAGCAGATATTGTTGTGTGCCTTCACGCGATGAGCAAACTTGATGAAGCAAATTCAACATGCAGTGCCCACGTTTCTTGCAGTTGCCATCACATGTGTTGTCCAAGGTGATTGAACCGTTGCTTTCTGCAGGCAGTTTGTTTTTCTGCCAGGTCCCAAATCAGTAGAATTATATAACCTTAACTATATAAATGCAACCGAATTCTGAATCAAATCAAACAATAGTTTTATACTGTATACTGTATAATCAAATTCTGAATTCCGTTTATGTGCTCTAGTTTCATTCGGATTTCGTCTTCCGTTGTTTCCTTTTCTTTTTCTTTCCTTCCTTCTTTTTAATTTTCCTTTTAAGACTAAATGCAATTGAATTCTGAAGTGTAAAATTGATTTTGAATCCAATTCTGAATTCCATTTATTGTATTTGTTGCTTTTTGTTTGATTGGTCCTTTCTTCTTCCTTCTTTTCCTTTTCTTGTTGCTTCCTTTTTCCTTTTATTTTTTCAATTGTCCTTTTTGTTCCACGTTCCTCTTTCTTTTCCTTTCTTGATCATCAAGGTGTTCTTTCATGTAGCGATAACCTAGCGATAACCTAGCGATAGCCCCGACGAGGGATGGACTCATTTGATCCCAAGAAGGGCCGGGCTCGTTGCGAAAAAGTTTTCAGAGCTTCTCAACACGAGGCCATCAGATCATCAGATTGTTCTGAGACTTGGGGAGCCTTCTATGCACTTCTTCATAGCTACTAACGCTGAATGATATTGGACCATCTTCAATTTCTGAAACGCTTTTGAGCGGGGAAGTGTGGCGCTTTTCTGACGCCATGGCTCAATCAAACAGGGACAAGGGCGAGGTGACCCTTTTTCTTTTTCATAGAATTAGTGATCTTATAACCGTTGGCAACCATTGATCTTAATTAATTACTGTCTTTCTAGTTCAGAGTTGAGATTGTAACACATTTCCTTGCTTGGGAAAGAGTCATAAAGAGTCTAGGAATGTGCTTAGATAGCTCCCCGACATGGTTGCAAACGCAAAGACAACGAACGCCCCTTAATCCATCCCCGGCAGTTTAATTTTTGCATTATTTAGTGTTGATTTGAACAAAACACCGTAAGGCAATAGGACCCCCCCAAAACCGATAACTTATATTTTTGTACCAGGCGTAAAGAATTGATTTTGACGGCGGTTCATGTAACTTCACCAACCCAATGCTCAAATCCCTTTGTTTCTTGGTTGCCGACCCATTGAGTCTCCAAAAAATGGCTGATGTTCTCCAACTCTTTTGATGGATTTTCATGCACAGAAAACACTTTTTGTGGGGAAAGACCATGGTTTCCTGTCGGTATTTTTCCCAGCAATACCTTGGGGTTATATCAGAATCTCAGTTCTGACCGCTTAAACTCATTTTTTTTTCTCCATTTTTATCCCCCATTTTCCCAACAGAAGCCAGGTTGCTCCACCTCTGTAGGCAAAAGGATTGACGCTTTGGATTCTCCGAAAGAGTCTCCTTGACTTAGCCAATTTTCCCCTGAAAGCAAGCCTGATATCTGGATTATCCTGAATGTTCCTGGTTTCATCTTCCATTTTGAACTCAAGATTCCAATGGAAACCAGAACTATAGTTAATCTATGGCTAATGGTAATCAACTATAGTTATAATATGGATAATATGGTTAATCACTATAATATGATTAATAGTTATAACTTATAACTATATCAATACTTACTGGTGCGTTTTACGTCGGGAATTTTCGGGAATGATCCACTGGCTATGAAAAATCATCCCAGCAACGCAACCCATCCAGCAACCCTACGGCACCAGCAAGACATCCCAAGGGACTCCACTGAGGTCCAGTGCCTTTGAGGCCCTGGAGAAAGATTTCCAGGAGGTGCTGCAGGACAGATCGATGCAATTTCTCGATGTTTCCCCATATTTCCCCTTTATAGAGATAGCTTCGGGGTTGTTTAAAAAATAGGTTCAACTATGGTTTTCCGATATTTTCCCCTTTCTTTAGGCCAATGGATAGTACGGATTTTCCAAGTCATTCAAGGCCAGAAAAAAGCCGCTCGCCCGCTCGGCCTTCCTTCAGGAGCTCATAGGAGACAAGTCTTTGGAGCATTTCCGCTTGGAATATGAGAAACTCCATCGGGCTCTGAAGAAGTGCCTTGCTGCAAGGTGGTGCCCCAGTTCGTTAGCTAAGTTGGTTTATAACTCCAATAACTATGGTTTATGGCAGATATAACTATAGTATTCATGGGGTTTATAAACCAACAAACATCACTGGGGGGCACCATCCTGTGTGGTCTGGTGATTTTTGATGGGGTCATTTAGCCCAACAGTTGGCCACCGATTTTATAGAGATATTTCATGGGGATATGACATGGGATGTATAACCAACAACATGGGTGGAATGGTTGCTGGGGAATACCTCATCAATGGGGATATAATGGGAATATCATTGGGATATAATGATGTAAGTAACACTATGATATTTGGACTTGTCTAAACATGGGGGTCTGGTTGAGTTTTTTTTGCTGTTGAACCCTGCCATATTTGGCTGTAAAAGCAATGACTTCCTATAAGTTTTTCCTCAACGCATTCCGCCGAGTTTGGTATATTTGACTAACTTGGTGTCTGAAATCAGCTGAAACCAGCCGATGTTTCATACTTTTTCGATTTTGCCTTACACAGCTTTTTTAAAGTAAACTATAACTCTGGAACATGGACATCATTTATGGAGGATTTACCTATATCATATATTATAAAAGGGATATATTTTCATATATTTTCCATAGCTGACTGTCAGTTCACCAGAAAGGGTACGGTACCCATGGGGGATTGGAAGATCACCCTGGTTGTAGCCCTGGGGATTTATGACGTCCCTGGAAGGAAAGGGAAGCGAAGGAAACAGGGCAATGTCTGGTTCACAACTCGAAGTTTTTGTAACTGAGTAACTTCTCATATCTCAGCAAAATTCTCAGCTTAAAATTCTCATGATAACTTTCTGTGAGCAACACTCTGGCAATTTAACATAGCTATGGAAAATCACCATTTTTAATGGGTAAATCCACTATTTCAATGGCCATTTCCATCATGTCATCACAACAGCTCTTTGTGTGGCCCGTTCCATCGCTTCGAAGCAGCCGAGGTCGCACGACAGCGAGAAGCGACTCATCAAGAAGTGTCGGGAGTTGAATCAGGAGATCGTGTCGAACGCCACGAAGGTGTAAATTGGGAGGATGGTGACATGGTGATTTGGGATGGTGATTGACATATGGAGGTTTCCAATTTATAGGTCAGATGAGTAGAAACTCATCCAAAATAGTCAATGACATATGGAGGTTTCCAATTTATGATATTTTGTTGGGTCAGATGAGAAACGAAACTACCAATCCAAAATACAGTAGTCAACTGGATGGTATCAATGAGATTATCTACTAAACAGCTAAGAATGCTAAGAACTTAAGTTTTTGCAGGGTATCCGGTTGATTGGCCATGATAAATGGGGTACCCCAATAGCTGGATGGTTTATTTCATGGAAGACCCCAATCTAAAATGGATGATAAATGGGGTACCCCCATTTTAGGACATTCCTATATGGTGACTGGGATCTGTTCATATGTCAATGTGGGGATGGGTCAACACCTATTATCATCAATTTTTAGTGAGATGAACATTCATTTACCAGCTATTTTGGGGTTCATCAGGGGTACCAGGGTGCCTTTTAACCCATGGCGATGTGTCTGAAAATGGGAGATAGCCCAAAATGATGATTCGACAACATGGAATATGATAGAATATGATCTACCATCTGGTTATGACTAACAGTTCGCCATGGAAAGATCCACCATTTTTAAGAACGGTGAACCATCATAAACCATCTATTTCTATGGGCCATCTATACCATGGCTATGTTAGTCATAACCAGAGGGTAATATGATAAAGCCTTGGGTTTGGCTTTGTTGCCTATTTTCAGACTCTCAGCCTTTCCATAAATGAAGGGGATCGATGTTTTATTTATGTTTATTTCATGGAAAATCCGCCCCTGGCACGATGGAGGACTTAGGGCCAGCCCCATGACTCAGGAAGCCTCCATAGAACTAGAACATGTGTTTTTATGTGCTAAACTAACCGGGTTTTTCATATATTTTCATGGCATGATCTTGGCGACTATAAATACATGACTCTTTTCGAATGGTGACACATTTTTCGGGACGAGATTTTTCGAAAACATTGGGGGGCTCCCTGGAAACAAGTAGCTGACGTTGGTCATAACCATGGGCGACTGGGACTGGGAAAATCGGCTGCCCTGATGTGCCCTGACTTTTCGCTGAAATCCTATGGTTCTCATCCCATGGATTTTTCCCATGGATTTGGGTCCAGATGACCATGATTTTGGACACCCAGATGATGGGTTTGCCAGATCCAATCATCTGGGTAAATTTGATCACGACCGGTTCGCCTGTTCTCCCGGTTCGCCTGGTTCATCATGGTTTATTTTAGAGGAATCATCCCAAAATGGGCCAACAGTTCAGGTTAGTGAATTGTTACAATTTGCCCAGAATCATTCATTTTTGTTTCTTCTTCTTATTAGTCTTTTCATGTTTGTTGATAATGTTTTTGGGGGTGTGTCAAAACCTGTCAAGTTACCATCTTTGTAGATGAACATCCATAAACACCACCTATTTTCTTCCTCTGATTGTTCTCATATGATTATCTGGTTGTGAACCCACATTTTTACATTACCCTCTGGTGAACTAACATAGCAATGGAAAGATCCACCATTTTTAATGGGAAAATCCACTATAAATGGCCATTTTCCATTGCTATGTTAGTTCACCAGAGGGTATCCATAAATCACCATCAACAGCACCTCGAAAAAATGCTGGGTTTCACCCCACGACAGGTGCAGACCGCTTTGAACCTCTCGAAAGAGGACCAGGCCTCTGGCGCAGCCATGATGTGAATGTTGGTTAAAGAAACCCCCATGAAAACATCCATTACTTGATGGCTCATCTCACTTAGTAAGTGGGTTATAACCCCAATTATAAGTGGATTAACCCTACTTATCCCATTTATAACTGGGGTTATATCCCACTTACTAAGTGGGATGAGCCACCAAATAACTAGTTTGTTATATCTACCATAAACCATAGAATTCAGCCCCCATCTAAATATATAAGTATCATACACTATTGTTATTGTAGTTATAAACTTAGCTAACGAACTGGGCCCCCATCCTGTACCCTCCAGTAATTTAACACAGCTATTCAATTTCATGATGTTTAGCAATGGCAAGCGGTTTTTACGTACCCGGTCTTAGGGTGGTTTCTGCGATCTGACCCATTCAGGCAGTTGTCACTGAGGGTTGTGGGTCCCGTGTTGTGACATGATTGATGCCAAGTGGCCTACTATAACTTTCTTTGGAACTTAACATTCTTCTATCTATCTATCTGTCTGTCTGTCTGTCTATCCATCCTTCTTTCTATTTTTCTTTCATTCTCAAATTGAAGTAGATTCACAGTGGCAGATCCTTTGTTAAAACCCCACTAAAGCACCATTTTCCCGTTTCGAGACACGACCTGTTTCGCTCTTCCCCGTTGCTTTTAGGCGACCATCTCGAATCTGAAGAAAGAGATCGAACGCGCCTGGAAGATGGTGGAGGTGCCATCCATCGTGGGGATTCGGCATCCAAGAACTGGGTCTTATATATAATATGGGTATCTTATTGGATATAATATGGGTATATAGTGGTATATATACTCAACATGTCATAGACCTACTGTACATACCGTAGCTTCGAGCTGCTCAAGACTTAATCTCGAGAGTTGTTTCACCCTGTAGCCTGTGTGGTTGGAGTGGAAAAGAGTTGGGATTGCTAGGACGTTGCTTCCTAACTTGTTTTCGAGTTGGTAGCGGAGCTCCTTGGTGCCGTCCAGGTTGAGCGATGCTGCTAACCCTCCTTGCCCTTCAGTGTTTCGTCACTGGGGCCACCGCCATGAATGGGAGTCTCGCCTCCCAGGGGAGTTTCGCCTCTCCTGATGCCCTGGATGATGATGTGATGAATGGGAGTGACGTCTCCCCAATTTGCGACAATGCAACCGTTCCAAAAGTATATGAAAGGCAACTCATGCCTCTGCCGAAGCTGAAGTGGATCAGTGGTCCGGTGTCTCGTCACCGGGTCCACACGATCGTGATGCTGACCGTCACCTTGACGGTGTTGACCACACTTGGAATGATGTGGCAACCAGGTGCAGCGCAGGGCGGTACTGCCCGCCTACCACCGAGGTGGGAACCAGGATCCAACACATCCTTCAGAGCGTGGACTCAGGACTTGATGTTGTGGAGCATCTCTTCAGATGCTGAGCCGCACCAACAGTGCGCCCTGGTCATCTCACAGCTTGGCGGTGCTGCCCGTGAAGTTGCGAGGACCATGTCACCAGCCGAGGTGATGAATGGAGGAGTTGTGAATGGACAACACCTGGATCCTCTTAGCTATCTCATCCACGGCCTCAGTAGCCGCTTCGGACCACTCGATGACGAAGTGCGGTTGCGAAGCGCACAGGATTTGCTATCCTTCAGCAGGAGGACGGGCGAGTCAACCGACACGGTGTTGTCAAGGTTTGACATAGTCAGACAACGTGCCCGTGCCGATGGCGGGGGAGCCACAGTGAGCACCGAGACGGCAGCGCTCATTCTGCTGAGAGCTGCTGGTGCCAATCATACCCAGTTCCAACAGTTGACACAGCCTTTCGGCTATAGGTTGCCATCCACGGAACAGGAATTCTTGCACATGACAAGCGCCATCAGACGGCTTGGACACATAGTGGAAAGCCATCGTGACAACATTGCCTCAACCTTGAGAGGCAATCAGGGGTCGAATCATTACTGGGCAGGTGCGTCCCCCAGTGATGAGACAGGCCCGAACCAAGAAGATGGCCAAGAAGCTGACGGTGCCGATGCAGGTGGAAACTGGTCCTACCTCACGAACAATGGTGAGTCGGACACAGACAGTGCCACATCCAGCGACAACAACTCGCTGATGGACATCTCAGGCCTCAATGGAATGTCCTCGTTCCAAGTGGATGAATACCTGTTTGGCAGGTACCAACATGCCAAGAAGAGATGGCGAAGGTTCACTGGCAAGCCTGTTAGAGCACTTCGACGCGTGCTGCGTCGCAAAGGCAAGGGCAAAGGCAGTAAAGGAGGCCTTGGACATGCCTATGTCAACATCAACGAGACGCTGCAGCAAAGTTCCTTCTACAAGGGGAAGGGAAAAGGAGGCAAGAGCAGCGGGAAGGGATTTGGCAGAAGGTTGAACCCGAAAGGCAGAGATGGAGAAGTTCTCAAGTGCAGCATCTGCCAATCTCAGTACCACCTCCGTGCAAGATGCCCACAGAGGAGTGACGCCTCCCAGCCAGCAGCAGCGGCCACAAGTTCCGTTGGCCAGATCCACCATACGTCGCAGGCAAACCAAGCGAGCCGTTCGATGTATGTGCACTTTGCCGCCTTTCAGGCCCAGCCTGGAAGTGAACAGTCTTGGAGTCGTATCGGCACTCCAAGAGAAGATGGTGGAAATCAGGAGGGACAGCAGCAAAGCCAAGAAGGAGTGTCGACTCCTAATGCAGCCAATGCGCGACCCGGTGACAGAACTCCTGAGGTGTATCACATGACACCAGACCCTCTGCAGGAGAACGATCCGTGGCGGACATGGATGACAGCTGAACGCCCGCAAGGATCAGCAAGTAACCCAATTCAGCCAGCGCCATCGCACTGGCAAGGTCCAGCTGCATCGACGCTGGACCCCGGAATATCGGTTCCTGCATGGCACGTGCCGGATGTGAGATCCTTTCTGGAAGTCTCAGGACTGTCTACCACCAGACCAATGGTGGGGAGTGGCACTGAGCAAATGGTCTTGCCGCCGGTGCCGACAGCATACACCGCCGCAACTCAGGCCCTGCAGGCAATGGTTGAACCGGCACTTAGTGGAGGAGCAGTTGCATCAGAAGCCGCTGGTCTCTTCACTCAGGTCCATGCTGGGAGACAGGAGCGGCGACGTGAGAGTCGCAGTCACCGTGAACAGCAAGAAGAACAACAAGAGCCCGAACCTCAAGCTGCGCAGACCAGGGAGTCTCGCCCCCGCGGCGATGGAGGCCTGGAGGTGTACCAAGACACCTGCACAATCTGCCTGAACCGGTTTGCGGCAGAGGATCACTGTTGCAGACTGCAGTGTCGACACGTTTTCCACTGTGTCTGCGTGGGTGAGTACCTTCAGCACAACGCACCCATAGGCGAAGGAGACATCCGCCTGGTATGCCCCAACTGCAGGGAAGACACTCAGGTCGATCGTTCGTGGGTGCAGCCGACCTTCAACCTCCATGCGCAGCCCACAGTTGAGGAGCAACTGAATGAAGCCGTCCAGACCCCAGTTCCGTCTGAGGCAAGTGCAGTATCTGTTGAAGAATATGTGACGCCGGACAATATCCGGTCGTATCCATGGTGGCCAATCCCCGAAACAAATCCACCAACACCAGCCGATGCAACTGAGTCCAGCCATGGGTACCATTCGACTGTCAGGTGCGACGATGGTCAGTTGGGCCTTCTGGTCGACCCAGGCAGCTATGGGAATCTCGCGGGAAGCGGATGGGTTGAGGAGGTGGAAAAGACCCTCCAAAGCCAAGGAAAGACCGCATCACGAGAAACCCGCAGTGCACCCCTTCGCGTCGGTGGTGTCGGCAAGGGAAGTCAAAACTGTCGGGAAGACGTGGTCATTCCGTTGGCCATCCCAAGATCCGATGGGACAGTGAAAGGTGGCACCTATTCTGCCCCGGTCATCGAAGGGTCAAATGCACCAGCCCTATTGGGCCTGAAGTCCTTGACGCAGCACAGGGCAGTCCTCGACCTGGTGTCCAACCAGCTACACTTGCTGGGGCCAGGAGAGTCCCGCTTCGAACTGGCAGAAGAGACAGAGACCTTTAATTTGACCCGGGCAGCCACTGGACACCTGCTGTTGCCTTTCCAAGAGTTCTCACGTCTTGCGAGTGGGTCTCAGGGAGTGCGCCATCTGTTCAGTGAGGAGGGCATCCACGAGTCAGGGTACATGACCACTGTCAAGACCGAGCAATGCAAACAGGAGCCGACCAACACCCCGGAAGATGCAGACAGAGCGTCAGAGCCTGCTGCAGCAAGTCCGGTCGAGCCCAGCATTGCAGTTGCATCCGATGCACCCGAGGAGAACCAGGAAGGTCAGAGCAGAGCGGCAGGTTCCCAAGCGCCGACGTCACCAGCTGACGAACCAGCCCCGGAGGCAGGAGAGACTGTGACGCCAGTCCCTGCCGCTGAGGCCGAAGAAGCCAAGAGCAGCAGTCCGGAAGTGACAGCTGCAAACGAGGCTGTTCCGCCAGTCTCTGTTGAAGCAACAGCCGAGCCCAAGGCAGAGCCCGCAAGCCGTCACACAGGTGACTTCAAGAATCTGACCTTGGACGAGATTGCAGACCGCGAAGGATACCCCGAAGAAAAGGAGCTGACCAGGGATCCAAGTGGGGCTCGCTCACGCCGTGGCAGGCGGCGCCGCCGGAAGAGACGCTGTGAAGCAGAAGAGGAAGAAGACCCGGCGGGGTCGCCAGACGAAGAGGGCCGCGGACGAAGACGAAAACGGTCACCTGTCTCGCCAGGTGCCGTTCCAAGGGAGACAAAACGATGGGCATCCCAAGGGTCCCAGACTAGCCATGAGGAAGGGGTCGAAAGAGCGCCAAGCTCAGCAACTGACCAAACGTCAGCATATGACACTGACCGTGGAAGTGTGGTGCTTACACCACGTCGTGAAGGGCCAATTGACAAATCATATGTGGCGTTGCCTTCGGAGATGATCACACCCAAGAGTGGATCAGCAAGCAGCAGTGCACGCCCTGCTGAAGTGGCCAAAGCATGCGAGTCCGTGGCAGCGCAACTGCCCAAGGAGCGCGGTGCAGGTAAGTCAAGCCCACCGCTGCCGCCTCCACCACGGCGGTTGGTGACGAGGGAAGATGATGGCCAAGAGTATGAGGTGGTGAGAGGGGAGCGGCTGCCGCCGCCGCCGCCGCGGCCGAAGCGACTCCTCCAGCCACCACCAGAGCCAAAGAATCCGCCAACGGCCAAGACTGGAGCTGCAGGCGCTCGACCCTTGCAGCGCGGAACCGATGCTGAGATCGCGAAAGCTGAAGCACACCTCAGAGAGGTGATGGCGAACCCAAGTGCGACTCGCACAGCCAAGCGCAAGGCGCGAAGAGAGGTGCGTCAAGCCAGAGGCGAGCCGCCTCCCAGTTGACTATCCAGCCTGGCCGAAGAAGAGCTGAGGTTGTTGAGCATCAGCAACTTCGATGCTCATGCATGTGCATTTGAAGGAATGGATTGCCGAGTCACCCGTGTGAGGCCTGTGGAACTGACACGGGGAGGGTTCGATTCCATCCTTGAATTCATCAAAACAGACAGGTACGATATGGTGTGGGTTGATCTCGCTCATCCCAAGCGCTTTGTCGGAGCGACAAATCTATCTCGGGTCATGCAGAGGTTGCGTGTCCTGGTGACGGCAAGTCAACGGTATGATGTTCCGCTTGTCATCGCCAGTTCGCACTCTTCAGCATGGGAGCATTCAAGTGTGCAGTCCCTGGTGGATGTCTGTGGTTTGAAGTTGAGCACCCACAGGTGGTGCACCTTCGGACTCAAGACGACGGGTGGGAACCCCAGTGCCGTCGTCCACCGGTGTGCAAGCACCTTTGAGTGGCAGAGCACGCCCTGCCAATGCCCTGCAGATGCTGAACATGTGCATGACTTGGCCCTGCGTGATCCCTGCTGCACTGCCCAGAGACGCCATACATATGAAGCTGAAGCAGCGGCCAATCTCCTGGAGTCCGCATGGATTTGCGAATCCGTGTCTGGGAAGTCAGCCGACTCAACAGTATCAATGGAAGGTACAGTCGTAGGCAGTGACAGCCAGCAGATAGCATGTCAATCCGCGCATCCAGCGCAACACGTAGAGCACAACGCGACGAGTTCCGACTCGTCAAGAGCTCGAGATCCCGCACCAGAATCTTCAGTGTTTAAAAGTTTAACCTTGCCCGCACAGAGCACTGTAAGCAAGACACCACACAATTTTTGCGCTACGTTTTTCCAATGCCGTTGCTGCGAACTGCTTGTTCCAAGTGAGACTGCCTGGTGCAACACCTGTGAAGCACCAGTGGAAAATGAACAAGCTCATCTGATCCAAGTCGGATGCTACCCTACAGAGCAGCGGTTGGCTGCCAAGCAGCATGCTAAAGATGGCATTTTGCCAAAGAGAAAGAAGAAACAAGTCGAACAACATTTCGACGACTGTGGAGAAGATCTGACACCAATTTGTGACAAGGACCCAAAACTGTCCATGTTCACCGACGGATATTCATCCGACGAAGAAGATAACATTGGACACAAAATCTTATCATCCTGGGTTACACACGGTTTCCAGTGTTCGGAAAGTGACCTGCCTCCATCAACACATCCAGGCATGGTCATTGCGGTCGACTTTGAAGAAGCCTATCCGATCTTGATCAATCGACCATATGGTGTTGAAATCGTTGAATTCTGTGGTGGTCTGGGACTGACCACTCAAATGGCAGTCAAGCGTCAGCTCAGCACAGGCCACAATTTTGAGCTGTTGACTGGCTGTGATCTCACAGACACCAGCACCCAGAGGAAAGTGTTATCGTACCTTTCCATAGCAAAGCCTTTGGTCATCGTGATGGCGCCCAGATGTGATCCCTTCGGCCCACTGGGACGCTGGAACCGAGTGATACATCCAGAAGGATGGGACCGCAGCTACCAAGAGTCCGCGCCTCTTGCAGAGTTCTGCGGCCGAGCTGCTCTCCATCAAATCAGTGAAGAAAGACATTTCCTATGTGAACAACCTCAATCATCAACCCTCTTCCAAGAGGAGCCCTGGCCGAGGGTACTGCAACATAAAGGTACTGTCAAAGTTGTTTTCCACCAGTGCCGTGTTAAGCAGTACATCAATGGCCAGTTGTGCAAGAAAGCCACCGAGTTGGTGGCCAGTACACGAACCCTTCTGGAACCTTTTGAGGGCCTAGTCTGTACTGGTGATCACCCGCATGCAGTGCTGACCGGTGGTCAAGCAAGCAAGGCGCAGAAGTGGAGTCGCGACATGTGCGACAGAATAGCCTTCGGCATTCAGCAACTAGCCGCAAGCACAAAAGAGCGCCCAGTGCAAGCAATGCCGTCAGTGGCTGTGGGCGGCGGTGACGAAGCCCAGGAAGATCCAGAACCTGAGGAGGCCGGCAACGAACCCTGGCGTAAGTGCAAGGGGTGCCGGTGGAGACTGCCAAAATATGACCCTCAACACAGCAGAGTTGCAGGTGAATGCAAACATCCAGACACTGAACCAGTGACCTTTGATTGCCCGGCTTGCAAGGCCAGAAAACCACGTGATCATGCCAGCCACACATACGATGACAAGTGCAGGCATGCAGTCACAGCCGCCAGAAAGAAGGTTCCCAAGAGATCAAGGGCAAGAGTGCCAGCGTCAGACGAACCAACCTCAGGATTGCGAGCCCGAGGTATGGGAGATGCAGATGAACAAGCTGCAGAAGAACAGCTGGAAGATGCCCCTGAGGCACGACCTGAAGAAGCCGGCGGAGTACGTCCCGCCGTGGAAGCTGCTGCTGAGCCAGCTAGCGCAGAGGGCAACGAGTTGCAGCTGGTTCCTGCCGACAGAGCAGGAAGGGGGCCAGATCAGATCCAACGAGTGCGAAGGTCTTATCGTGAGGGTGAGGCCCAAACGCCAGATCCGTCTGACTGGACCTCATTTGACATCTCTGCCAGCCTGCGAGGCCTGCGATTATCCAATGAGGCGGGTCAGCGCAGGATCATCCGCAAGCTGCATCTACGCTGGTGGCACGCAAGCAGCCACAGAATGATCCAGTTGCTCAAGAGCGCAGGCCTACCGCAGTCCATTCTGGATATCGTGCCAGAAGTGGTGGACACTTGCAGAATCTGCCGGTTGTGGCAGAAGCCATCCAGTGACAACATCGCGGTGAACCGCGTGGTAACCGGATTTAATCTGGAAGTGGAAGGCGATCTGATCTTCATCACACACCAGGGCGCAAGTCCGCCCGTTCTACACCTCGTTGACAGAGGGGTAAGGTGGGGCTTTGCCTGTGTGTTGCACGACAGGACAACTGCATCAATCCTGAATGGCCTGGACCAATGGATATCAGTGTTTGGACCCATGCAAGTCCTGATCTTTGATGGAGAAACTGGACTTGATGACCCAGCAGCAACCCAATATTTCGAACTAAAGGGAATTACGAAAAGGACATCCGCACCTGGCCAGCATGTGCGAATATGTGATCGACGAACCCAAGTCCTTCGTGACACGGTTCACAAGATTTCATCCCAGCTGTCTGAGGAAGGAATATCGCTTCCACTCAGCAGAGTGCTGGCAGAAGCAACATATGCAGGCAACGCATTGACATCCATTCGAGGGGTGTCGCCGTACACAGCAGTCTTGGGAAGAGTACCGCCTCTTCTACCGGACGCTTTGTCTGTGACAGATGACACAGAAGCACACGTGACTGCGCAACACACCCATCGATTGCGCGAAATAGCCATCCAATGCATTGCCGAGGCCAGCGCACAAGACCGGCTGAAACGTGCAAGCCACACACTCACCAAACCAGCAGGCGAGGAATTCGAGTACCGCCTAGGTGAGCAAGTGGAATACTACCGTCCACCCATGAGTAAAGACGTCTCAGGGTGGAGGGGGCCGGCCACGATCTGTGACCTGTCTCGTCTGGAGCATGGACGAGTTGGAATCAGGACCCGCAGCGATAATGTGCTTACATGCCGCCTGCAAGATGTCCGCAGATGTCTAGCATACATGGTGGATATGGAGTCACCACTGTCAAGCACAGCAGGTCAAGCGCAGCAGGTACTGCAAGAATTCGTGGATAACATGAAAGCAGGACCTGAAAACACAATGCTTCTTGGCAACATCCCTAGTAACACTGGGTGGCGCATGTCCAAAGTCACAGAGCGACACCAAATGGTGTACCAAGCCGCAGTGGTCGTAGCCGAATTGATTTTTCAGTTGCAGAACCTTGCAGCTGTCAGAATTGGCAAGGGTGTTCGAACCTTGTCGAAGAAGAGTGAATATGCAGCAAGCATGACGGTCTTTTGGACCGCAGCAGGAACAAGATCTTTGGAGTTTCTGAACAGCGAAGACACCAGTGTGTCATTCGTAGCCATGTTAGGTCAGAACTGGACAAATGTTCGCTTTGTTCAATACCTGACCGTCACAGCCGAAGACGATTTTCAGAACTCCATCAAAGAGGATGAAGTGATGAGTGACGTCTCATCCACATCCAACCAAGCGACGGGACCAAGCACACACGACAATGCAAGTGTGGGAGGTCCCTTAAGCACAATCCCCGAAGGAAGTAACGAAGAGGAAGCGCATGTGACAATCCAGGAACTGGAAAAGGCATTCGGAATACCGGCAGATCATCCCAATGTAAATTATCTGGCCGAAGCATTCGTTGCCATATCAGCCGAGGAGGAGGACACTGTGCCGCCAGTGTTCACGACCCTTGAAGAAATCAGTGGCCCGGCTCTGACCAGGAGCCTTAAGGCCATGGAAGAAGTAGCCATCCCCAGTTGGCAAGAAGTCGCGTATGTGACAGAAGATGACAGCTTCCTGAGCAGTAATGCCCTACTCGAGCAGTTGCAGCAAGTTACAAACGAACTGCCCATGCTGGAAGACCAAGATGAGTATGGAGCATATGCTGCCTTGGAGGCGTACTATCCAGAATGCAAATATCTGGAAGGTCTTGACCGACTCCCCAACTGCGATGAGCATGTGGAGCTTCGATTTTACGAAGCGCACACCAGAAAGGTAGTCATCGATCGGAACGATGATCTTCTGACAGAACGGGAAACATTGGAGCACTCAACTGAGGTGCTTCAAGCAATGCTCGATGAACTAAACACTTGGAATGGTTTCCGCTGTTTCAAAAGAATTAAGAAGTCGGAAACAAAATGCATCATTGACACAAAGTGGGTACTGAAATGGAAGCTCAAAGGTGGGGTGCGGCACATACGTGCCCGCCTCTGTCTTCGTGGCTTCAAAGAGTCAGGATGTGACAACGACACCAATCACAGTGCTACAGCATCCAGGTTGTCTCAACGACTGTTGGTGTCGGAAACAGTACTGCGATCGTGGGTGCTCGCATCCACGGACATCCCTAAAGCGTTTCTGCAGGGAGTTTCGTATCAGGAGTTGGCGGACACCACCAACAAGCCACTGCGTGACGTCAGATTCACGCTGAACATCCAGGGAACAACGTGTCTCAGGCAGATTAAAGGATTCGAGGATTTTGATCCACGGTCCGAAGTGCTACATTGCTTAAAGCCTGGCACGGGGTGCCGCGATGCACCTCGGTGCTTCTCAATGCAGTTGCGGAAAGTAACAGCAGCCTTCGGTCTGAGGAGTTCGTTCTTGGACCCAGAGTTTGAGCTGTTGTACGATGAAGGTGGAACGCTGCAGTTAGTGGTGATCAAGCACGTGGATGACCTGAAGATCGCGGGCCCAAAAGAACTGATTGCAAGGTTTGTGGACCATGTGGCAAGAGCTTTTGGAAAATTGGTCATTGAGTACAACACGTTTACCTTTTGCGGTGTTCGACACACGCAAGAAAAGGACATCGTGTTGGATCAAGCAAAGTTCATTGCAGCCATCAAGGAAATGGCTGTCCCGGAAGCATATGCCAAGACGGATGAGCCACTGCCAGAACACCTGCAGAAGCAATTTCTGAGTCTGCTCATGACAGTGGCATACGCATTGCTGACGAGAATGGATGCTGCAGTGTATGTAACAGCCCTGCAGCGAGAATGCCAAAAGCCGAAGCCAATTCACGTGAGACGGTTGAACCTGCTTCTGCGTTGGATGCAGAAGAACCCTCGTGGACTGCGGTATCGCCCAATGGATAAGTATCCTGATAGCCTGGTGCAGTTCAGCGACTCAGGGTTCAAGGCGCGTTCCGAAGATGGACTGAGTGTCAGAGGGCTTGTCTCCATGCGGATGCATTCCAGTGAGTTGACGTCGCCAACAAAGGCGGCTTGCCATGTACTGGAATTTGTGTCCAAAGCACAAAGACATGTCACTCGCTCAACCTTCAGCAGCGAACTCTTTGCTGCTACAGATGCCATCGACATGGGACTGCTCACAAGACTGGCTCTGCATGAACTCCAGTATGGACCCATGAACGACAACTTGGCAAAAGGAATCCTCGAGGGATTCACCAAAAGTGAGATCCAGTTGCATGCGGTCCTGGACGCAAAGTCAGTGACGTCAGCAGTCACCGCGCCAATTCTGAAAACACCAGCTGAGCCAGCACTGCTTGTCCATGTGAGATGGGTAAGACATCTGCTGCAGTCGAAGGTCCTTCAAGGACTGCGCTGGACAGACACAAGGTCCATGATTGCAGACGGACTAACCAAAGGCAGTATCGATCGATCAGCGCTGGAAGCCGTGATGTCTGGCTGGTTAGAGATCGAATATGCCTTAGAGAACGAGGCACTGCAGTTGTTAGGTCAACCGACCTAAGCCCCTTTTTACACAATGGTCAGTGGTGCCGCCCACTGATCATCCGAAGTAGGAAAATTCCAGAGCTACGAGCCTGGAATAGCAGAGTAGGAGTACGGTTCACCAGGTTTGTGGCATGAGGCTGAAGCTAAAAAAATCCCGTTCACCAAAGGTGGAACGCTGGGAAGCCAGCCGACTCAACATGTCATAGACCTACTGTACATACCGTAGCTTCGAGCTGCTCAAGACTTAATCTCGAGAGTTGTTTCACCCTGTAGCCTGTGTGGTTGGAGTGGAAAAGAGTTGGGATTGCTAGGACGTTGCTTCCTAACTTGTTTTCGAGTTATATAGTGCTATATATAGTGGTTTATAATTAATGGGTATAATTATATGGCTATGAATGGTTCTACAGTATATTTATAGATGCCTGACAAACCATCATAAACCATCTATTTCGATTAGGGCCATCTATTTTCCATGGGAAACTGTTAGTCATGACCAGAGGGTAATATGGGTATGGATCAATACCTATAAGTACCATTTTTAGAGGGATGAACATCTATAAATCCCAGCTATTTTGATGTGAACAAAAGGGGTACTATTGGTTTTGACACACTGCCATATGGTTCTATAAAACTATATTTATAGATGCCTAACAACTGTTTTGTTGGGTCATTCAAACTATAACTGTTGGGTACCTTTTAATGAGGTTTTATAGAAAACTATTAATTTAACTGTTGAGTTAGTAATTATAACTATGACTAATTGGTATTTCATGGCGTTTATAAACCAACATACAAGGCCTGTAGCCATCCGTAGCCTCAATCTACAAGACAGATGCTCTCAACGGTTGGTTTGGGCGACTTTTCTCCCAGAAGATGTGTTGCCATGGGTCAAAAACATAGATTCTAGGGGGGGATGAACATGTTCTACAGTTTATGGGAAGATGTGTTGAAAAAAAACTCAAACAACATCAGTTCTTTTTTGGATGAACATCCATTTACTAGTACCGGTCATCTATCTTATGGGTTTCACCAGAGGGGCAGTCTGAGATGTCCCCGCAAACCACTGGGTGAATCTTGATTCAACATGGGCCATCAGTGGGTCTTAATCTGGGGTACACGTTTTTTTCCCGTCGACCCTTGAAATTGCTGCTTCGGAAGGGAAACAAATGATAAGTTGCCATAGAAATAGTTGATTTACCCATTAAACATAGTTTTTTTCCCATTAAAACATGTTGATTTACCCATCAACAATGGTGATTTTCCCATGAAAAATTGTGATTTTCCCATGAAAAATGGTGATTTTCCCATGACAAATGGTGATTTTCCCATGACAAATGGTGATTTCCCCATGAAAAATTGTGATTTTCCCATGAAAAATGGTGATTTTCCCATGAAAAATGGTGATTTTCCCATGAAAAATTGCGATTTTCCCATGACAAATGGTGATTTCCCCATGAAAAATTGTGATTTTCCCATGAAAAATGGTGATTTTCCCATGAAAAATTGCGATTTTCCCATGACAAATGGTGATTTCCCCATGAACAATGGTCTTTTCAGAGGGAAAAAATGATGGATTTTCCGGTGGATGATTCCACCGATCTGAGGTTTCTCTAGAGGTTTCGCTCTTCAAAGCCATATCTGATTGGTGGTTGGTGGTTCCTATGGGATTATGATGGTTAATGATGTTTAATAATGGTTAATAATATCTGATTGGTGGTTTGGAACATGAATTTATTGGACAAAACCATATCTTACTGGTGCTAAACGTAGGGAATGGATGGGTTGCTGGGGGTTGCTGGGATGATTATTGATAGTTATTGTGGTTTGGAACATTTGGATTATTTTTCCATATTAATCGGGAATGTCATCATCCCAACTGACGAACTCCATCATTTTTCAGAGGGGTAGGTATACCACCAACCAGATATTTTCAGAGGCCACATGGAAAGGGGAAAAAACACCACTTTCCACAAGCAGATGTGCAGAGCCTGGGTACGGATGGATATGTCGAAGTGAATTTAAACTTGGTTGTGGCAAGAGAATGCAATATAGTAATTAATATTAATATCCACTTAGAATATGTATATCTCATAATATCATATCATATCCACTTGTATAAATTATGCAAAAAATGTTTGGATGTTTGATTCATGTAGTTTTGTTTTGAGCTACCCTCCGGCAATTTAGCATAGCTATGGAAATCCCCATTTTGAAGTTCGCTAAATCATCATGTTTATCATCTATAAATATCATTAAATATCTATCAATGGGCTATTTTCCTTCATTTTCCATAGTTAAATAACCAGAAGGTGATGAATATCAATTTAGAATAATTTACATATCAATGATCAATGGATATTCATGGAATATGAGTGGAATGTTAATGAGATTTGAACCACCAGAGGCTCCCAGCAACGCAACATCTTCCTACAGGCCTCGCATGAGAAAGAGCAGAGAGCCAAGGAAACCATTCACAACTTGAAGGCCGCCGGTCAGGTCGTTAACTTTAAAGTTACACCATGAAGATATGGATTACCCTCTGGTTATGTCAAAATAGCTATTGAGAATGGTGATTTAGTTCGTGGATTTAGCCATTAAACATGGTGATTTTCCATAGTTATGTAAACGTTTACCAGAGGGTAATGTAGTTAAAACAATAGTAAACCACCCATTTATCCCATTTGGGGATGGTAAACATGCCACCTATTTATGGGGATATTCACGGGAAATACCCTATGGTAATTTGCTACATAGCTATTGAAAAATGGCCCAGTCGAAATAGTAGTAATTTGCATAGTAAAAATGGTGATTTTCCAGTTAGCTTTTTGTATGTTTACCAGAGGCTAATTGTTTTACCCACATTAGGGCCTCTACTGGACCATTTGGTCTGGAATGATGCCTTGGATTCAGAGTAATCCCTCTTGTAATCTGGGATTAGGCCAACTTTTTCAAGTGAAATCATGTGAAATATTACTAACTATGGAAAATTGATATCTATGATAGCTATTTGGCCAGATCTAACTAACTATTACTAACTATGTAAACTATGAAATATTACAATTTACCCAGATCTAATTGATATCTACTGGATTTCAAGTTCATGATGGTCATTCCAAAATCATCATCTGCTGAGATCTCTAAACCTGGCCATGGCCAGGTTATCCCTGGGATACCCATAGATTTCCATCGCCTAACTTGATGCCAAAATTCTCCATTTTCTGGACGGATAATGGGGGGCACTAAAAACTGGTACCTGGTTTGTTGAAATCCCGATGGGAAATCCCATGGAAATCATTGGTACATCGTAAGGCAACTGCAGACGATTTGTCGGCTGACTCGGCTGACTCGGCGTGATTCGAAGAGCCTCTGATGAAACTTCTGAAAGAAATCATCGTTCTTGGCGATATTTTCATACTATAGTGATTAACCATATTATAACTATAGTTGATTACCATTAACCATAGATTAACTATGGTTCTTGGCGTTTTTTTTTGCTGAATCTCCAGATTTTCCCCTTGGAATCGCCAGGTCGAGATTGCAAATCTGAGCCACCTGGTGGAGCAGGGTCGGGGTCACCCAGCTGGGCGGTGTCAACCTGGCGGCTTTTTGGGAAATCCTCGAACTCCATGGGCCCAATAAAAAGAGGGTAGAACTGTATAACTATAGCCAATTCATTAGCCAATTCAGATATGTTAGTATATGACTAAGAATATTAAGCCAATTCTATAACTAAGAAACTAAGACTATTCTTGGAAAATATGGACATGTATGGACATGTTATCATTTTAGTCTGGAAGGTGTACACAAAATCCATGTTTTTTTTTGAGAGAAAACCGCATGGGTCAAAAGCGACAAAGACATGGTGATTTCGACCGTTTGAAACATGAAGGGAACAGTGATTTCACCAATTTCACTGAGGATATGGATGTCAGCAGATCAGTTAGCATATTATCTGGGTAAATTTCATCACGACCGAACCCTGTTCTCCCGAACCCTGGAAATTATGGTTAGTAAGGGGAAACATCCCCAAGATAGCCTTATTTCAGGTTAATGAAATATTATGATTTACCCAGATATTATGTCAAAACCGGATTAGTACCCTCTGGTTATTCAAGATAGCTATGGAAGCCATGGCCCATTTATAGATGATTTACCGCTATAAAAAAAGTTGCCGATTAATCATGGTGAATTTCAATCCCATACAAAAACCCAAAGGGTGCCCTGAATTTTCCCTCAAACATAGCCTGGTTGTTGTGGATATTCATCCCTCTAAGAAATGGCAGCAACAGATGTAATAGTATTACAGCATCCATAACACTGGACACAATTTTTTAAATGAGTATAACACCCCCAAAAGTTGGTTAATATCATCCTCTAAGGCCGCCGAGCTATTGATCTGACTGGAAATGTAGCCCCTTTCAAGTTTTGGGTGCCATGGTTCATGGAATTTCTGAAAACGACCCTGAAAGAGTACTGCATGAAAAATGTCGTCATCGTTAGGAGATACTACCGACCATGGTGTTTCGACCAGTCTTTCTACGCTGCAAGAGTTCACAATCTGCCAATCTGTGGGTGTGTCCAAACGCAAAAGATAACCAAGACAACTATCGGAAACTGTGTGAGGTACGTTTCAGTAAACAAGCATGGCAATTGAAAATCCAATGTTTTCCCAATGCTTTCCATATTTTTCAGGGTGGCTTCCATATTTTTCAGGGTTGCTCCAATCTATTATAGGCACATGATAGATGACATTGTTGGAGGGGAAATGGGCTATTATGATTTCTTTATCTAACAACACAACTTGTCCCTGGAACATATCTGGGGTGCCAAAGAGCATCCCTGTTTCGAAATGCTTTTCCCCTTCATCAACTTCATCAAAGTCAAATCTCTGACTTTCCATGGTTTTTCCGTATGTTTCTGGACAACTCAGCCACGGTCCCCAAGTTTCTCCCAAAAACCTGAGCGATTGTTTTTGAGGTGCCGGGCTAAGTGTGAATCAGGCCAGGGGGGGTTCGT